ATCCATCCTTACCTTTCTAACTGTCAAGTCTCTTTGAACTTAACCTTGAACACTCTAGAAAAGACAGGCACTCAGGGAGGGCAGACTCAGGAATACTAAAGGAGACCTTTGAATACTTCAAATTCACATATTAAAGAATTTTCAAATACCATATTGGTAGGGGTTTGTAGATTCTTAGTTGCCTGGTAGAAGGGAAGTGTTTGAACTCATATTTATTTAAGGTTACCTTGGCACTGCTATTTCTGTCTCAACATGTCTGTATAGTCATTTCCTTTTGATTTTAAATCTCCTTAGGGATGGTCAACCTAATAAGGTTTTCAGATAGATTAAACAATTACTTTGGCCTTTGATGAAGCTAATGATTTCACAGATGTTTATAACCAATCATAGAATGATAGGGGGTTCCTAAAGTAAGTAGTGATGGAAGAAAACGATCTTCCTCATTTGAACTGATACTATGATTTAATATATTGTTATGGACTTTTCAAATAAACTTCAGAAGAATGGGTGTATATATAGATAATGTAAGCATTTAGAGTAATAAATAAGAATTTTTATTGGAATGGATACTTGACGGAGGGGGTGGGGTCAAGAGGAGGGAGGTAGAGAAATGCAGAAAAGAAAGGGAGAAGAATGCAGTAAAAAGTTTAATGCATATCCTACAAAATTAAGAGAAGTAGGGGAAGGAGTAGCCTTGTCTATTAGTCCTATCTAGTCCAACTAATTAGTTAAAGTAGCCTGGTAGGAATATTGAAAGAGGTGACATTGAACAAGATGCACTGAATTCACAAACTGCTTCGTTTGTGCTTTTGTACTACTACTTAAAGATAAAAAAAGAATTTTTCTTGGAAGATAAAAATGTTAACAGTCTTTTACAATTACATAACTGAATATGATGTATTCCTTCAATAGCCTACGAAATTAACCTTTCTTTCTCATGTGAAGCAGATTCTCTCCTTTCCTGTCCAGCACTTCCATTTTCCCCTTCACTAATGGCTTCTCTCCTCCAGCCTTTATAAACGTTCAGACATATATCATCCTATATACTCCTTTTGTTTTCCCTTATAGTCATTTCTATACCACATTCATTACACTTCCTTTTTTTCCAAATAGAAACTCTATTGGGTTCGTTAGGTTTCCAAATTCAGGGAGCCTTTCCTTCATCATAGAGAACTTGTTGATTTTTCTGAGGGCATCATTTGATGCTATTGACCATAACCTCTTTGAAATATTTTATTGTTCCTGTTGGTTCCCAAGGTATCCTATTATCTTGAATTTCTTCTGTATGTTATTCTTTAGTTTTCATTAGAGCTGTCAGTTCCATCTTGTCTATTAGTCCCATCTAGTCCAACTAATTAGTTAAAGCCAAACTCAGAACTACATCATTTCTTTTTCTTTGATGGAAAGTGCTTAGCTAGTTGGAATCCACAAAATATAGAAAGAGGCTTGTTGATTTGAGGGAGAAAGGTTTTACGTATGAGACAGCCATTGGAAGCTGGTCTCCTTGTTAGCCTTGAAAGAGGAAATGGGTAGCACCAATTGTCCCTGGAATCATCTTATCTTTGAGAGAAACCAGCTTTAGGACAAGATTATGGGTGACCGTGGAAAGTTAAAAACATCTAGGTCCTTATGAATCATAGAACAGAAGAATAAACCCCAGTCTCTAGATCTTCATCAGTTTGCCTCTTATCTAAATCTTCATTTGCAGTTTTTTTCTATGCAAGACTATTTGCCTTGACATTTCTACAACATGTGGTGGAGATTTCTATCAGGTAAAACTTTGGCTTTTCCCCTCTGTATCATATTCCAAAGTACATCTTGTAAATGTTAGTGTTTCCATAGAGCTTGGCACAATCCTTGTCTGTCTCACTGAAGGCTGAATTATAACATACACTGATGATTGGCAAATGCTTATCATCAGCTCAGCCTTCACTACTGAACTTCAGATAGATAATCAAATATCCATATGGTTGTCCTAAAGATACTTCAAACCAATATATTAAAATTGAAGCTCTCCTTCTTTCTCCCTTCCATCACTTATTCTTTACATAGTTTCCATTTCAGTGAATGGAATGACATCACTAGCTCAACCACTTTAGCAACCTGGTTATCAACCTTAGTGGTTTTACCTATCTCTATGTTCTATGTCCAGTGAAACACAAGATGCTTTTGGCTCTAACTATTAAGACTATATGAAATCTGTGCCTTTCTGCCTATCATCTATGTTTCCATCTGTTATATTTTGGATAACTAGAGAAGCTTCTTAATTGTTCCTGTCTCCACCCTTTCTCCTTTAGTTTAATCTCTGAAAAGTTCTCAGAGTGGTCTTTTAATGAAAACTTGACATTTCTTTTCCCCTTTAAAGTACTTCCCATTTCCCCTTCCCATTTCCTAAAGGATAAAGCCTAGAATAATCTGGTGTTTCCTTCTCTTTTCAATCTTATTTGACACTAAGTAAGACTATCCTTAATTTCCTTTAGTTTCTTCATTAAATGTGTTCCCTTTTCATAGTATTCCCTGTCATAGTTGGCATCCTGTGCTCCTTGTATGAAGCACAATAAACATTACATTCTGTTTAGTGCTAGATATTATCGCATAGGCAAATTAATAATAAGTACAGTCTCTACATATCAATTGTATTACCAATTATTTTAGATATGAAATATTTCTTTAAAAAGCATTGACATCAGACTGGTGTTCTTGGCTTACTGTCTGGAGTACTAGCTACTCAGGAGGCTGATATCTGACGATTGTTGTTCAAAGCAACCCCAGGCAGGAAAGTCTGTGAGACTCCTATTTCCAATTAACCACCAAAAAAAAAAAAAAAAAAAAAAAAAGCTGGAATTGGATTTGTGGCTCAAGTGGTAGAGTGCTAATCTTGAGCAAAAAAATAACTTAGGGACAGTACCCAAACCCGGGATTCAAGCTCCAGGACTGGCATACATGTGTGTGTGTGTGTGTGTGTGTGTGTGTGTGTGTGTGTGTCCGCGCGCGCGTGCACGCACGCGTGTGTGTGAGCACACACAGACACACATACAGAGCATTAAAGTCACCAGGGAAAAAAATCACCAAAGTTACAAAGACGATATGCAGTGATGCAATATATCTATAAGTAATGAATGCATTCTAATTTTAAAAAAACACAGCAAAGTTTAAAAACTAGAGCTGAGGAACCATTGGATTTTAGAACTATAATAGCATTCAACGATATCAGACACTTCTCTGATTTTACTCTGTGCATTCTCTTTAGAAGCATAATTCTAAAATTCTATGTCTTTATAAAATAGTTTTCTTATGCATGTACTTAGTAGTTTTTAGTTTTTTTTTTTTTTGGTCCAGTCGTGGGGCCTGAACTCTGGGCCTAGGCGCTGTCCCTCAGCTCTTCAGCTCAAGGTTAGCGCTCTACCACTTGAGCCACAGCGCCACTTCTGGCTTTTTTTCTTTTTGCTTATGTGGTGCTGGGGAATTGAACCCAGGGCCTCAGGCATGCAAGGCAAGTGCTCTACCACTGAGCCACCTTCCCAGCCCTAGTTTTTAGTTTTGTTTATTTCTTTTTTTGTTTTTTGTTTTTGTTTTGGTCAGTCGTGGAGCTTGAACTCTGGGCTTGGGCGCTCTCCCTGTGCTCTTCAGCTCAAGGTGAGCTCTCTACCTCTTGAGCCACTTCCAGTTTTTTTTTTTTTCTGAGATTTAAAAACATCATAATCCTCATGTTCCTGAAATGTTTTCCCATTTGAACTGCATTTTCCAAGACATGGTTGTAGACATAATTTACTATTTTATTTACTTATTTATTTGATAGTACTAGGCTTTGAGTTCAGGGCTTTCAGCATGATAAGCAGGCACACTCTTTTAATTTCTTTGAGTATTTTTTCATGGCATAACAGAATTTGAACAATTTTCTGTTGATAGAAAATTGTTTGCCTGATTTTCTGATATTGTAAACATTGACCATCCCCTGAATGATGTGTGTAGGAGTTTTTCTACTTTAAAGGAGATTTTTTTCTAAGTTAGAGGAGATTTGCTGGATGTAGAGTATGTTCAATTTCACAATGTGATTTCTTATCAGAGTGGTTTGTGTTTTGTATTCCATTTGGAAGTGTAAAATGTCTCCTATACTTGCAAACTCCTTTTTGTTTTCTAGACTTCTTCATTTTTACCAGTTTGGTAAATGTAAAATGGCATCTCGTTTTCATTTTCTTTAGTGACAGAGGCTTCAATTTGTTTTAATATTAATTTACTTATTCATCCTCTTTGTTCCCTGGAATTTTTAAAATTTAAGAATTGTACACACAGTTCCTATGGTGATTTCCTATGGTGATTTGAGCTTTAAAAATACTTATGCAATAATAGACATAATTTGCCTCCCACGTATGTGGCAAAAATCTTCCTCCTGATATGGCTTTCTGTTTCACTTCCCTTATAATGTCCTATCATGTAACAGAAAGGCTGCCAATACACTTCATGTACTTCCTTAGATTAAAAAACTCTTCAGGTAAATATATTTTTTCATTTTTTATTCTCTAGCACCTAGAGAGTGCTCAGCACCTTACTGATGTACATATTGTTGCTCACTAAGTATTTTTGTTCAATTAGTTGTCACAACTTCAGAAATGGTGTACCAAATCTTTATGTGATCCAATATTATTTTATACCACGGTACAAGACACCGTTGAAGGCAAGAGAGACAGAAAGATATGTCACATAGCTTTCTGTACTTGCACTTCAAAGAATTTCTTAAAATCCTTGTGAGACTGGCAGTGTCTGCACAGAGATGTTAGGGATGTTTAAAAACATACATAGCTAACTCTGAGCATCTAGCAGTGTTCCTTTTCTATGCTTTTCAATGGATTTAATAGTTGAATGATTTTTATAACACGGGATGAGGTTTAGACTAAATTGTTCACAAAGGTAAGAATGATGTTAAGACACAAAGTATGGATTACATATTACAATGAAGGTGCCTGGTTGATGGTTTGTGTTATCAATTTGAAATTGATTACCTTTTTAGTAATGGTGTCCGGAGGTACATCCCGCCTCCCAAGTGGATAAGGATTCCATTGGCCACTAGGAGATAGATCTTCTTGTCCATTGTCTAAAATGTTGCTTTGCTGGGACGGGGTCTATTGCGAAAATGGTATGGCATTCTTTAGTGATGTAATAGAAGCTTATCATAGTTTTCTGAAAAGAGTCCCTAATAATTATGGTAAAATTAATTTTGTGTGATTATAGAAATACATATATCCTAACTGGTAGTATTAATATATACTATTTACTGAGCAATAATTCTAAGTTGATAGCTTTTAGGAAGCAGTGAGAAATACAATTAAAAGAACCATCTAAGAGTTATTTGTTACATTTTAAATACAAGTTTAGATTATTTACAGTACCTGAATACAAATAATCAGAATAAAACTAATCAATTGTTAAAAATAACAATATTTTACGTTTCCTTAATTTATTTCTTCTGTATTATCTTACCATTTAAAATATAAATTGAAACCATATAAACCATAGTTTAGAGCTTATAATATTCCAAGCCACAGCCTAAAAATAAGTCTTATAATACTGCAATAATAATTTGGGGAGATACAGCTCTCACTAATCCAAAATAGAATTAATACTAGCATGGTTCAAGATTTATGGTACTGTGCCATTACTGATAAGCAGATTTAAGGGAAAAGTTTAATAAAGCAGCCTAAAAGAAATGATTATATTTGAAGCACACTGTTAATAAATCATGACTGTTTTAGTTACCAACTTATTTATTTGTATAGATCAAGTGTATATTAAAGTTTAAACTCTTGATAAGGTAAAATGTTTTGTCTGATTCATTTTTTAACAAATAACAGAAATATCATTATTATTTTTTAACAAATAACAACAGAAATTTCATTATTAGGTTCTAATATTAGTAGCAATTGACTTCTAATAGTAGCTTTTAATATTAGATTCCACTATTAGATTCCAATAATTACTAATAGATTCCCACATCAACAGAATGTTAGCCTATAGGGGAGAGATACATAGTGGTATGGTATATATACAGAGAGAATGTGTATGCAGCTATTTTTTTAGTACAAATACTTCTTGGTTTCCTGGGGAAATTTTATGTAATAGAGCTATTATCCTATGCCATTTTTGCACTTGTTCAGAAGGAATCCTACTGATAAAACATGGGTAGCGTGTGTATGTACCATTGTACTTTGTGCAAAGCATTTTCTTTCAATCCCAGAAAAGGAGGCCATTCTCATCATGACATACACACAGGAGCTGCTTGCCAGCCTTCATCTGATGATAGGACTGGAACTAGCTTATTCTCCTTTAGTTATATAACCACCCAATATATATTCTTGTTACATGCCTTTTTTTTTAAGAAGTACTGCTCAGAAGTATTTTAAAACAGGATTCATGATAATATTCTATCAAGTCCGTGGTGGAGCTAATGGATATAAAGAACAATAGCTAACTCATTTTTCCTCTTTTACTTTGGTCCGGTTAATTTTTTTCACAAACCCAGGAGGAAGTGTGAAAAAGGGGAAAAAGTTCCTGAATGTAAGCTGTTGAGTTCGTTAGGATTGATTTGATTTGTGTTTGCATGATAAAATGTGGATAATATATTTTAAGAACAGGAAAGTGATCTGGAATGTGGTCAGTGTTTGTCTGGTTACAAGCATGAAGTTTCTAGTCTTTATTTTTTTCCAGATAAATATGTTCACATATGCTCATGCATATTTTTCTTACATACATTCTTTTCTTATCATATTGAAATATGATAAAATAGTACACTTAAGCAATTAAAACCTAGTTATAAGGCTTAAGTAGTATTGGTTAGTATTTTCTGAATTTTCAGTTTCCATCTATTTTTCTAGCTTGGTTTCTTTGCCAATGAGATAGGATAATAATTTTTCTGACAGGTCTGTGCAATTCAAATTTTTGAGAAGTGGCCAGAATTCAACACAGATTTCCTTTCTTTATCCATACCATTTCTCCAGTTCTTCTTCTGTGCTTGCTTTCCTACCCAGATATAACTCCTAGTTATCGTTAAAAAGCAGCTGAGGGCTGCAAAATTCTTTTTGGCACACGAAAGCAGTTAAATCTTTATCAAAATTTTAATGTCATAATGGTTTAGCCTCTTCATGAATCTAAAAATTAATCTGCACCTTTAAAGTTAGAATTAAAACTGAAAGCAATTCTTCTCTATAACAAAGGACAAAGGGAACAGAAACATGCAGAAACATTAAAGAGGTACTTTGATTACACAGCAAAATTAAGGGGATGTCCTGACAGCTGTTTCATTAATTTCAAGAGTCTCCTGACTATTTTTTTTCTTAAATGACTCACCCTGGGAGCAACTTTAATCTGCAGAAATATAAAGAAGACAACCTATTGATACTGCATTGTGGTGGGGGGTATGAAGACCAAAAAAAGAATTGTGGCTGGGAGCCATTGGCTCATTGCCTATAATCCCAGCTACTGAGGAGGCCGAGATCTGAGGATTGAGGTTTGAAGCCAGATGGGACAATAAAGTTTGTAAGACTCTTTTCTCGAATTAAACACCAAAAACAAAACAAAACAAAAGCCAGAAATGGAGCTGTGCCTCAAGTGGTAGAGTGCTAGCCTTGAGCACAAAAGCCCAGGGACAGTGCCCAGGCTCTAAGTTCAAGCTTCACAACTGGTTCAAACAACAACAACAACAAAACTAACAAAACAAAAAACCAAAAACAACAGAGAATTACATATAATACATTCAAATTCTTTCTCAATGGAGTATGTCTATTGTTTTAATTTCAGTTGTTTAGCTGCTAAATTTCTGTAATAGATAAAAAATTAAAATGATTAAAAGTAGCAACTGGATTAACGTAAGAAAGCTGAGGCCATAAATGTTGAAAATCTATTATTACAGAAAACAATTAAAGTTCGGCATTTAATTCAGTTATTTCTCATGCCACATACTTCATACAATCTGTAGATACTTTATAGAGTAAGGTGAATCTTATTTTTTGCATCATATATAACCACTTACACAGATAAATGGATAAGAAGTTCTATGTTGCTGAGTGGAAGGATTGCTGAGCAGACACTAATCCCAAAAGCTAGTGAGGACATTTGTAGATTGAATATTTATGATTTTGATTACCATGAATAATCATAAAGAAGTAAGTTCTAATTTTGCTGAGACATAAAGTATACATATGTATGTCTTTATAAATATTTGTATATTTTCATAAGTATATGTCTGCACACATGTGAGCAGCAGTGTTCTTTTTTTTTTAATGGTCTTTTTTTTTTTTTTTTGCTTATGCGGTGCTGAGGAATCGAACCCAGGGCCTCAGGCATGCAAGGCAAGCGCTCTACCACTGAGCCACCTTCCCAGCCCCAGCATTGTTCTTATCTCATGGCATCCACTGTGCTTGTGAAATTCTTATTGCTATTTAGTTGAAGAAACTATATGACAGTGGCAATAGCAATTGGCATTTTGGCAAGGTCTTGGGACAGATCCCTTATGAACACAAAGATCTAGTTAGTTTAGTAATTGACATGTGATTAGTAAAGAACATTACCATAAATTTATAAAATGTGATCAAAATAATGTATTCAAAATAATTTTCCCTGGCAGTGTGGTGGTTCATGCTTGTAATCTCAGTATTCATGAGTAGGAGGGCAGCACAGTTTATATAGCAAAGCCTTGCATTAAGTAAGCAAACAAATGAACAAAACAACCTGTTACTACCACCAACCAAAGCCATTAAATGATAATTTGCCAGAGTACTTTCATTAAAATTATTTTTCAGCATGTCTTTTGAAAAAAAAAATAGGTATTACAAAAGTAGGTATGTGCTGAGCTAAGGTATAAATGCTTGTGGCTTCATGGGTTCCATCTGTAAGTTTAGTGGAATGCCCAAGTAATTTCTCAATCTACATTTCATTGTAATGGTGATGAAGCATTCATAGGGACATGAAAATTATTTTAGTAATTTTGCCACTGTCTATGGGGATTTGTGTGTATTTACAAACTGAAGGCTTTTTTTTTCAGAATTAGAAAGGTAAGCAAATCATTCTTGACAGATATGTAGCCATTAATAAGTGTAATAAAATCAATAGAAATTATAGACATGAGTTGTCTGAAGTGCAACATAGATCTTGCTTTGTTTTCAGCTGGAAAAAATGGCATTAAGTAACCCTTTGCACAAAGTTTAATAAATGCATATGAAATGTTGGTATGATCTGATCCCAAGACATTTAGTAAGGTTCAGTGAGAAGGAAGATTAGCAATTTAAACATAGTTCAGGTATAAACATTGCTACATAAATTTCTCATAGCTGGTGAGATGAGTATCAATTGTATTTTTTTTAAACCAATATAACTGGCAGCGAGACCATGCTCTTCCAGGCAAAATTCTATGAAACAATTATATAACACACACATTTTTATGAATCTAGGCTCCCTTTCCCTGATATTGTTTAATTTATATGAATATCTGGTTTTATAAGCCAGTAAGTGATAGATTTTATGTTATAATATTATAGCAATAATTTTTTAAAGGAGAGATGACCAATTTCTCCACTGTTGAAGAGACGACACTACATTAGTAACCAGCTACCCTTGAATGAGGAGCTTAAGGAAAGGTTATTGATTTCTACCCCAGTCCTGTTTGTCTCTGGGGCTGCAGCAGCCTGATTGAGTGATTTCTTTTAGGTCCCTAATCTGAGAAAATGCCGGTGGATCTGACAAAGCACAAAGTAATTACTAGCATTTATTTACCTCAGCTAAGAGATCACTATACCTGTGGTATATAGGGAATAACGAGGATTGCATGTTGTCTAATTAAGATATTCTACTTATGCACTGTTTATTTTCCATTTCATAATAGCTACTTCTCTAGATTTTTTTTAAAAAATGATGATGTAAGATAATAATGACTACTGAGGAACTTAATCAACTATCATGAGCCACGTTCTATGATAATGTCAAGTTTTACAAATACATGAGAAAGCAACATCATATAGAAACAAAAGAGCATAGGTCTGAGTAACAATCCGAGTAGGGTTTAAATTCAATTTACTACTATGCCAGGTCCAGGGGATCTAACAGTAAACCAGTAAAAGTGCAGGTGAGATTCCTCAGTTTCCTCATTTATTCCACAGCAATGAATATGTTTTATAGGTTTTGTTTCTGAGTTACAAGACAAAAAAAATCATGTTTAAAATATCTCCTGACACTAAGAATGCGTAGATTTTCAATAATCCCTAGACTGTTTTTACCTGTCAGTGGAAATATTTATTTATTCTGTTAATCATCTGGTAATAAAAATAATAGTTTGAAATGACTTGTTTTTTTCTTTAGTGTTGTATTTCTCTCTGATAACACAAAATTTTGAGACAATAGCTTTGCTCAGTTACAATAGAACACATCCAGAGAAAGCACATGGAACCATTAATTACGTTCTAGAAAGTTGCCTTGAGTGCTTTTTGGAAAGGCAGGAAAAAAATGATGAATGGATAAATGAATAAATCAATAAATAAAAACAAATAGAAAATATTAATAATTTTATAGCTTAGTAGCTGACTTATACATCAAATATTCTAGATTATGCATACTATTCTGGGCAATTAATATAAGCATCAATCAAAGAAAATATTAAATCTTTATACTAAGATTGCTATTTGTTAGAATTAAAGAAAAGCTTAAGAGTTCCAAAAAATTATAATTTACTTTTTTAATTACAAAAAGCTTATATAAAAGAAGGCCTTCATAGTATATATATATATATATATATATACATATATACATATATATGTATATATACTATGAATACTATATATATATGAAACATTTGAGTTGGTATATAATAACTATGTTAAAATGAGAACTATTCAAAATAAATAAAATCTAGAAGAGTCTTCTCTTTCCTTTCACTAAGTATTCACAATGTAAATACTTTATCAAGTGCCCAGACTTTCCTATCTTTATTCATAAATAATTATATCTAATTAGTTAACAGAAATTAGTTTCAAGAAAAGAGCTCCTACCTGCTACTTGCAGGAAGCAAGAATTGACAAGCAGAGAGAATGATACTAGGATCTGATTTTAGCTCCTTAACTGCTCTCTGGAAAGGGTATCACTTACCCAGATATGTGCTTAACGCTTAACTTCTCAAAGGTGAAAACATTAATTTAGATTGCTTGGGAAGCTTTACTCACTCTTTGTAGGAAACCTCAGTGTAAACTGTCACAACATTTAACTTGAGATGGCTAGAATTATCACTCAGGGTACTTATGAATATTAGAGACAACTACATAATTTCCTCAAGAAAACGGTCACTTTTGTTAACTGGTAATTGTTATAATTGATGTCACCTTACATTGTAGTGCAATTCTTATAGATAGCAAGCATTTAGTTACTGGACAAATATCTCAAATGCCCAAGACACTCATTTTATTATTTTAAGTAGTAAAAGTGTTGTAATAGATTTGTATTACAACTAATTTTTAGCCTATCTTTTCTGGCAAGAAGGGTTCACAGGAAATGTGTTCTCCATCATGTGAGATATTTGCAATGGATAGGAAAGCCAAAGAACAGTCAATTTCAGAGAACTCATAGTGTGTGTGTGTGTGTGTGTGTGTGTGTGTATGTGTGTGTGTGTGTGTGTGTATGTGTGTGTGTGTGTGTGTGTGTGTGTGTGTGTGTGTGTGTGTTGGTCTTGAACTCAGTGCCTGGGTGCTGTCCCTGAGCTTTATTGCTCAAGGCTAGTACTCTACTACTTGAGCTACAGTTCCACTTCGGGGCATTTTTGGTGCTCAGTTGGAGATAACAGTTTCACAGACTTTAAATCCTAGATCCTCAGGTCTCAACCTCCTGAGTAGCTAAGATTACAGGTGTGAGCCAGAAGCGTCCAGCAAGAGAGCACGTACTTTAAGAAAGATTGTGTAGGGGCTGGGAAGGTGGCTCAGTGGTAGAGCGCTTGCCTTGCATGCTCAAGGCCCTGGGTTCGATTCCTCAGCACCATATAAGCAAAAAGAAAAAAAGCTGGAAGTGGCGCTGTGGCTCAAGTGGTAGAGCGCTAGCCTTGAGCTGAAGAGCTGAGGGACAGCGCCCAGGCCCAGAGTTCAGGCCCCACGACTGGACCCCCCAAAAAAAAAAGAAAAAAAGAAAGATTGTGTAGTACATGAGGAAAATTAAGCAAATCAAAATCAAAACTCTGCAGGAGAGGCAGGTGCCAGTGACTCTGGGGACAGTGCCCATGCCCTCAGTTCAAGCCCCAAGCCAAGGAAAAAACTACCAAAAAAAAAAATCCCTAGAAATATAGTTGGGTCCAAAGGACAGAAGCTTCGATTGGAATCTGAGAGAGAGAGCAGACCCTGACACTTTTGAGAAATATATTTTGCTATGTATTTTGAATATCTGTAATTTTTCTTCTTTATTCCATGCCAGGCTGAGTATTACATATATTTTAAAGCCCTAAATGGATACTTTTTGAATCATAATGTCTTCTGACATAGGGAGTATTTGTCTTCTCTCGTTCTTTTCTTCATTTCTCTACCTTTTCTCCTCCTCTACCTCTTCTTCTTCCTACTTCTTTATGTAGGACATAAAATATTGCTAGTAATTCATTAATCATTGTGAACTACTTTACTATGGCATATACTTGCAATCATCCTTGATTTACAATTTAATAGTCTCCAAAAAGAAAGCCTGTAGGTCATCTCTGTGTTCAAAAGAGGGGAGTGGTTGAAAAATCCCTGAATACAGGGATTATTCCTATTAAAGAACATTTTATAGCTATATTTATGGATAAGCAACTCATTCTCCAAGGTATCCAAAACTACATCAGAAAATTAATACAGCAATGTACATGTCCCTAATTTATTACTGAAGAATAATTTAGACATTGAGCCACACCATTTTGGGTATATTGTGATTTTTTTTCAGATACTGCCCACATCTGTATTAGTATGTAGATTGAAGAGTGAATAGGGCCCAAAACTAGGCAGAATAAGGGAATTTTCATTTCATATAATTTCAGATGATTCAGGAAGCAATAGCTTCCTTCATACCCAAATCTCTTTAATCTGCTCACTGGGTTTTGAAAGTTTGTTATTTTGAAACTAGTTTTATTTCTATTGAATTCCCAAGCCTTCTAGGAGAGGTATCTACCAAAGTAACATTTTATCTATTTCGTATTGCTGATAAGTTCTAAGAAAATTTCTTTTGTTAGGAAACAGGATGAGAGCCTTGGGCACCTGCCATCTGAGGGGCCATGAAAGACAGATCGTATTAAAGTAGGGCCTCACGTAAAATGGTCATGGGGTGGCATTTGGAGCCAACTTGTACTGGCTTACAGGAGCCATTTATATCCAAGTTGTTCCAATTTTGATTCCAATGCTATGCATTTGCTACTGTGAAATTGGCTATAGTGAGACTAATTATATTGCTGACATTAGCAAATACCCAAAGTAAATTTCTCTTGGAGAAAAAGTTTTCAGCTCTCCACTGCCAAGTCATAGGAGGCTGAGGAAAGGTGAAATGATATTCAAAGTTTCTGGTTTAGTTAGGTTTCTTGATTTGCTTTGTTTCATTTAAGTGATATCGAATGGCGAAGAAGATGCAGTTATAAGCATCTCATTGATTTTGTGATTCTACCTAGAGTCAAAATCCAACTCTTTTGAGTTAAGGGAGACTTATAGAGTTATTAGAGACAAATTTGACAATAAAACATGATTTTTTGAAATTTTATGATATTCCTTGGGGATAAGAATTTGTTTATTTATTTTACTATAAAGAGAATGTGTTTGGAGGTTACTATTGTCATTCTGTTGACTTTATTTTTCATTTTTTTCACATAAACTTTCTAGGCTTATCACTGTATTAATATGTAGACATAATGACATATTGTATGAAAATAATTCATTAGTTTCCATTAAGATATAACTAAGAAAGAAAGCATGTAGAATAAGCATTCTCACATTTTTGTGATGAAAATAAGCATATATTTCATTGACAATGAAATATTGTTCTTTCTTTCTTTGTTCTTTCCTTTTTTTCTGGTTGGCTGTGGGGCTTGAACTTAGGGCCTTGGTGCTGTCCCTGAGCTTTTTCACTCAAGGTTAATGCCCTACCACTTTGAGCCACAGCTTCACGTCTGGTGTTCTGGTGGTTAATTGGAGATAAGAGTCTCATGGACTTTTTTCTGCCTGGGCTGGCTTCGAGCTGCAATCTTTAGATCACAGCCTCCTGAGTAGCTAGGATTATAGGTATGAGCAACCGTTGACTGCCTGAAACATCCTCTTATAGGATAATCCCATTAATTATGCCTACATTTTTATTAAACGTATGTTAACTTGCTACTTTTCCATTAACTTAGGAAGAATAGCAATTGCTGGCTGAGCCACAACTTGGTTTTCATCTTGTATTTCTGTATTATATTTGCCATAAAGAAAGTAAACTGGAAAAGCAGTTAAAAGCACCAACCATTTAATTTCCATTCTAGTTTAGGTTTTGATGACTTTTCCAAAGAAATCAGTTGAAATCTACTAATAATGTTCAGCTCTATTCTAAAAATGTATCATCAAGAGAAGTCAAGACTACCTCTGAAAGAGTAAAGCATAAACATGTTAACACAAAAGAAAGAAAAACAAAGAATAAAAAAAATGTAAGAAAAATGACTTGTAAAGCAACAGAAAAAGCCATGTATCTGTTCAATCCAAAAAGCAATGCTCAATTCAAATAGCAGGAACCTGATAACTGGTCTTACAAAAATACATTTAGCAGCTAAGAATTCAGGCTTTACATTATTTACCCTGGTACATTTTGGACTCATGAGAGTCTATAATAATCAGGGTTGTATGTATAGCCTAAATACATTAAGTGAACAAACAACATTAATTGGCTTTGGTATGCTGACACATGTAGGGCAGTCCATACTTACTTTCTGAAGAGGTAGTTCTTGATGATCAAATTTAGACTTAGTCTGCAAGTTTAAAGTCATGCTTCTGCCTGCATGCATTGCTGAAATACCTCCATAGGGCAGCATGCCAAGGTTAACTGTGTTGTGTTTGTAAGCAGCATTCTGAGTAGAGGAAATAATCATGTGACAGGATGTGAACACATGCTCAACAAACTGATCATTACATGAACATGTTTAAATTTATAACATTTAACTTTAAGCGGGCAAACAGTAACTCTCTTTTAAAAACATGCAATTGATCAGACAAAAGCATACGGTAAACAGTGTTAGTTATGCACATAATGAGTACCATCCAAAACTACAGAGAACACAGAAAGCAAAGAAGATACATTCTGCTTTACACTTAGTGCTAACTCTGACACGTGAAATCTCTCCCTGATATATCAGGATAGTAGTGACTCTGGACAAGGATTGCTCATCTGTAGTAGTCTATTAAGTTTTAAAGTTCAAACAATGAGATTTTAAATGAAATGTGTCAGCTACAGAGCTCACTGCTTCTTTTACATTGTGAGACCATCACATACGAGAGACAAACATTACCATCTAATTCTGCCTGAAGTGTATGCACTGCAACATTCAAGGCAAAATTATATATTTTCTTGCTGAATCGGTAGATAGAAACACAGCAAGTCAGAAAAACAGTTGATCAAAAAACTCATTCAATTTGGTCCAAATTGGCTTGACTGAATTGCCTTATTTATTCAGTTATATCCATCAAAAATTTGCATGTGGATCAGAATTTACGGATTTACTATTAAGAAGTACACTTTAAATCAAGAGAGTTTCATATACTATTAAATCAATTCTATTTGTGGATTGCTAAGGTTGTTTATCATGTTAAGCATCTCATCTACACGACAGAGTATTTACATTTTGGCTCCTCTTTAGCATCTACATCTAAAATTGTTATCTGTGAATGAGGTAGGTTTTTTTTTCCTATTTCACTGAAAATTTAAAGTATTTTAAAGCCCTATCCTAAAGGCTTTAACCTCAATGGAAATGTGCTCATTGGTAATATTAACTTTTAAAAGTATTTCTCTTGTTGTCAAACAAAAATTCTTGAGTGAATACTATTGAGTACTAACAGCAGGCAGCTACTTTATTTTGAGAGCATTATTTGCAAAGTAATGATTTTTACCATCAAAGTCTCATTGAGCTGTGCTGAAAGATTATTATGCTGCTGCCGATGTGCTTGTCTACCAATCATACTTGTTATGGATTCATGATTACTTCAAACAGATACGTGTCATTGTCACCATGCCCAGAGTGAAAAAGACACTAAACATCTTGATTTTGTACTTGGATGCGTTCTTGGGGATTAGGTTATTCCAGTTTAGTGTTCTTTTGGCCCTTATACTAGAGTAGCTGCCTCAGATATGTGGGTTCACATTTTAAATTCTGTCGCAGCATGTTTTGTGGTTAAATTAAAGGAGAAAGAAACCCCTTTCCACTATGATACCTGGAGCTGCCTCTCCAAAGCTCTCTTACCAATATTACATTGGACTGTCAAGATTATCCCACGTCTAAACCTCTAGGCAGTTGTCTTTTCTATCTATCCCAAACATCTTGCAGCTGCTAGTATAGCTGTTTGATTTGCAGGGGTCTAATGACTCATTTTCAGTGGGAAAGGAACATACCATGTCTCTCCAGCTGTTGTACTTTGGGCAGGGTTTCAAAGAGCACAGTTATATCAAAACCAATTTTATGTAATAAATCTGTGCTTTGGAACAGATTCATCTTGTTGAATAGCTGGGAAATTTAAAATAAGACATAGCCTGAATTGCTTAGTGACTCAATTGAAAGAGAGGGGTAATCTTTTACTTGGAGAAAACAAAAGGAAGAGCTTCTGATAACTTGAAATAATATGCTAAAGTGGCAGAATAATCAGAGGATATATAGAGAACAGTAAAAAGAAGGTGTCATTACAGCAACAAAGACCACACATGAATTCACTTTTAATCATCTGGGCAGGCAGGGCCTCCAGACTTTTGTTGATTCAAGTTCCCATCCCAGACTCCATCCCCTTTCCCCATGCCATTTGTGCTCTATTTAGAGGAGTCATTGACTTCTCAGTAGCATGGCTCTGGGGAGATAAATGAACCATTTTATCTAAGATATCAGTAAATAAATGATGATACCAGATGCTTAGACCTTTAGCTTTTCATTTTCATGCTTTGCTTCCACTCACTCTTCTGTTGCCTCAATTACTAGTCAATGCACATATGCTCCAAAAAAGCTTCTTATAACCCTTCTAGACTAGTTTATCTTGCCCTGTTAACATATGGTTGTGTCTATACAAGGCCAGAGTTCCCAAACTGTACTGTATTATTTATCCCCAAATATGTTTGCCCTCCAAGTTATCTGTCTATATGGAGGGTATAACTTGAGGTAAGACGTGGTAACAACCAAGCAGGTGTCTCCCTGAGAGCCAGTCATGAGGCTTTGATGAAGTTCCCTTCAATAGGACTGAGCACACCTATTTGAAACAGACATTCTGATGAAATATTTTGTAAGGCAGAACCAATTTCCACATTGAGAAACTAACACCCACAACCACATTTATCACTTCATTCTTTCCCTCAATATCATTTTCTTGTCATGTAGACATGACCTACACATACTATACTTACAAAGAGAGCAAACCTGAAAACACAAAGTTGAATATTAAAAAAAAATTCCTGATATATGCAGTGACCTATACTGTTAGCAGGACACCAAAGAAAGTAATAATCTTTTGAGTAAAAATTTCAGAAACACATTATCCAGATCCTCAATTTACACATCGCATGTAAATCTTGAGAATGAGAGGACAAAAGTCTCCATTTTCACCTACAAAAACAGAAAAGATCTTAAAAATTCAACTGTGAGAGCAGAACGCACAAAAGCCCTCTATGCCAAAGCCACAAAGTACATTGAAAGGTCACGGGGAGTTAATGGTTGTTCTCAACAAATGAAACTCCAGATTTCTTGTAGAGAGATCTGAACTGGCAACAAAAACGTATCTCTACCCTTTATATTTTTTCTTTTTCAACTCTACAATCACTGTTCAGTCTATATTTTATCATGAGCCATTTTTTTTTTACTAGATTAGGACTAATTTAAGATTATTTTCTATTTTTTTGGTTACCATGTACACTCTAATCTGTACATTTGCTGTCTTTGTAAAACATTGGCTGTTTTTGATGTCTATAGCATGATTTGAACATAAACATTTACTTCTGTATTAAAACAATATTCTAAATGGTAGGGTTTTTATTAAATGAAACTGTGTGGGAAGGCATTTAATCTCTGCTTATTTTATTTTTCTGTTTCTTGCTGGGAAGATTATTGCTCATTAGAAGTAATAACTTTAGTAGTCCCATAGAAATGACTATGTGCAAATTTTTATAAACAAATTAGGCCTGGATTTAATATAAGTGAGTCGGTGCAGCAAAGGGCAAAATATTTTTTTTTATAGATTCAATAAAAATCATACTCTAGGTCACTAGAGAACCGTTTTGTGTTTTAGGAGAAGCATTTTGCCTTGCCTTAATGCCTAGACAGCAATTGAAGCGCCATCTCAGATAATAAGAGTAAATACTTTCTTACTAACAATATTTGGGTTAGATCTGATATCTGATTCACTGGCACATTACAGATTCTCAGAAAGTAGTATGCGGCATTCTTGGAAAATCTATCATGATCAATTTCCCCCACAATATCAAGATCCAAAGTGCTGACCCTCTATCCATTCATGTCGTTCATGCTTGACGACACGTGCTTAGAAATGCCAATAAAGGGAAAACGAAAGGCAGGAGGGATATTCTTACAGAGAAAGGCCAAACATACCCTGTCTAACCTTCTAGCTTCTATATGTCTAAGCAGCTGTTGTCTCCAGTCTGCAGGCATTTTACCACAGCTCTCCTCCCCTTTCACAGGAGTAGGCCTCGTCTTTAAATCACTGTTATCTGATGGCTTGTCACCATAGTTACCCAAGTTATAGTCAGACGGTATTTTTTCCAAAAGAGCTGCCATGGTAGGCCTAGCTGAAACTGGCCTGGTCTGGGAGGCCCCGTAACTCTCTGTACTGTAGCTTCTGGCAGACAGCGGCCTCCTCTGGGTAAGGTTTTTTACTGGAAAACTTCCCGCCTGCGCTTTCACTTCTTGGTACGAAGGGTGCTCGTCTTCGTACCTGCCATTCCTCTTCAGGAACTGGGACTCAGTCACGGATACGCTGCTTTGGCGATCCAGCCCTCCCCTATAGGCAGGTCGGCCGTACCTCTCGCTGGGAGGCAGCTCGTGGGGCTCACTGACCCTGCGGAACATGGCCATCTCCGTGGAGCTGGCCAGGGAGTCGGCTCTTCTCAAGAAGCCCGCCCGGGCTCCTTGGCTGGCAAACTGGGCATTCACCACGGCATCCTCATTCACCGACGGCTGGGAGAAGGAAAACATTTGCTCCATGGGGGGGTAGCCCCGGTAGGCTCTGGGACTAACCAGATCTTTGGCGAGGTTCTTGCCGGGCTGCTGCACGTACTCCGCGTTGTGCTGGAACGGGGGAGGTATCCTCTTCTCGGCTTTGACTTCCACGGCTCCTTGAGGATTGAAGCTTTGGTCGAACTGATACACCTTTTTGGTCATGGAGGCCTTTTGTTGTTGGGGCCCTTTACTACTTCCGTAAGTGAGCATCTCATCGTCCAGCATGGGAACCGACTGGCTTCGAGACATACTGGGCATCATGCCGTGCTCGGGTCCCAGCAGTTTGTCTGGCCTGTCGTGGCTTCCTAAGTGGTCACTGCCCGCAGCGTAGTTTTCTAACGGTATGTTGTAAACCTTGTAGGTACCAATGTCAATCTCATCGATACTCTGTGACTTCTTGAATTTACTGGACTTTATATCCTTCATGAGAGGGGAAAGCCTTTCTGTGCTTTTGCTAATGGCAATAACACCTTTAGATGAATCTGGGCGGCAGTGGATTTGGGAAAAGACATTCCCAAGACTCCTGCTGGGGTTGGAATCGTGATACTCCCACGGCACTCCTGGCGAAAACGGCCCAGGTAGCTCAGTAGGCTCTTTGATATGGTCTTTCCTTTCGGGCAAGGGGCTGGTAGTGGGGGTTGTCTCTAATTTGGAAGGAAAAGCGGTCCTGTCTTCAAACGGGCTAGGGGTTCGGGTCCAATTCTGCCAAGGATTGGAAGGAGGCACTTCTGTTTCTGGCGTGTGTCTGTGTGTAGATTGCTCAAGTTCCAGGGGGACACCAACAATCCTGTCCTGCCTGATCAGAGGCCTGCGTCCGTGGGAAGGCGCGTTGTTTCTCGACTTGGAACCTAAGAGAGGGTTGTTGGCATTCTCCGCTGTGGTTTCCTCAGCCACAAACCCTGTGTTATCGTAATGTGAGCCATCAGTCCAGTTGTCAGTGAAAGCATCACTCATTGGCAGCCGGTCAGGACGCTGGGGTAGATTTCCTGGAGGAACGGCCTCCCGCTGGCTGAGTAATGGCTTAGCATCAAGAGGCTGTGGGAAAGATTGGGCAATCCTGTCAACACAAGGGGAAGAAGACACGTGAACACGAGGAAGAGACGGTCTGTGGCAGAATGAGAACAAGCAGCAAAGAAGGCCGCTTGACTCATCTTCCCTAACTTAACACTGAGTTTTATATTCCTCCACCACACCCATATTCACTCCCGTACCTCACTTTTTATTTCTTCTTAGTAATAATGATCTTCTAGCATATTGTGAAATTAGCTTAGGGAGTACATCTACTGTATATCATTTCATGCTTTTGGAGCGAATGAAAATTGATGAGAACAGAAATCTTTCTCTCTCAGGTTCAGCAGAGTGCCTGGCACATAGTTGATATTAAACACATATTTGCTGAACGAATGATTGAATGACTGACCATCATAAGCCTTCAGTATTCCATTTGGAACCTAACAGACAAGTCATTAGAATCACCTGGTTTCAAATAGTCATCCCTGGAGATTCTGATTCAGTATTTCCAAACTATTACTTGAGAGCACTTTACAAAAATGCTTAGTATTTCTAATAAATCCAAATTGTCTTCTAATTTGGTCATGCTTTGAAGGGACTATATCCCACACAGACTCAAATATCTTTTTTCTAGAATGTAAATTATATTATGACTTTAGATCATTGGCATGTTTATCCCAAGGACCATCTCCAACATAGCTCTAGTATTTGCTAATTTTGAATGCTTATTCCAAACCATTTGCACACTAAAAACAATATCTATAGCTATCCTTGTCTATATCTATATTTTTTGTTAGTGAGGGCAAGATTTTATATGCTTCTGTGAATTGGAAAAAAAGAACATTTCAAAGAAATCTTCCAAAATTACCTAAATTTGCCTCAGTTCACATAATGAATTTATAAATTTAAAGAGTTCCGATAAATCAAATGGGCATTGATGATTAGTGATAATTGAATTATTAAAGAAGACATTGTCAAGAGGGGTGATATATTCAGTAAAATATGAATAACACTTATTCACTACTTATATCCTAGGATGGTTTTTATTTGCTCCTTGGGGTTTAAGATGGTTGTATATTACAACTACCAAAGGTAGGAACTGGTAGAAGACAAATGCCATCTTGTTCATTCTGTTTTTCTTTTTTTTTTTCTCCCTCTCTCTTTCTGTTTTGTAATGCTCTGCACTTTTTCTTTTTCTTGGGGCTTGAATTCTGGGCCTGGGCACTGTCCCTCAGCGATTCAGCTCAAGGTGAGCACTCTACCACTTGAGCCACAGAGCCACTTCTGGTTTTCTGGTAGTTAATTAGAGATAAGAAACTTTCCTGCCCAGGCTGGCTTTGAACCACAATCCTCAAATCTCAGCCTCCTGAGTAGCTATGATTACAGGCGTGAGCCACCAGTGCCTGGCTCTCTGCACTTCTTGATTTTTGCATCTGTACCACGGTATTTGAAAAGATGAATGAATACTTCTCCAGACATCCTAAGTTCAGCTGATGACAAAATAATGTTGATATGTTGATGATGATAATAAATAAGACCACAACATTAAGACTGTATATTTACTTTGTGCCAGGCATGTAAGTGTTTCACATGCATGTTAGATGGTGAAATGTCCACATCTCTCTTAAACATGTACTGATTAAACAGAAATTTTCACTTTAAAAGTCCTATTCCTAACATGTCATCCTGTTAATAGCTGGCCATCACTCCCTTAATCAATGGCATCATCGTGCACGGTGAATTCATTTGCTCTAGGTAGTCTCCAGGGGAACTTCATTTGCTTACCTGCCCTTCTGTCTTCTATGCCACTCGTGCTGAATACAATTCCAAATTAAGAAGATTCCATTTTTTAAAAAAAGTTGCAGAACACAGTATTTTGGGAAGAGGAAAGTGGGAATTCTAAACACACCTGTTACCCCACAAAGAATTATGAACGGCATCTTTAGCTGTTGTCTGCAAGGACCCCACTTTAACCCGGGTGTTAGAGGATCCCGAGGAAGCCTGGGAAGGCGAGTAGTCTGAGTAAGTGCCTGAGGAAACACTGTTATTCAGACAGTGAGTTTTGTCAACTTCAGACTCATCAGTTGATTCTGAAATTTAAAGGGGAGACATGTCATGATGCCATGAACACTGACAATTACAAGCAGATAAGTATGAAAAACGGATTCCATACTGGCTAGTGTTACAAATATATATATATATATATGTAAGTATTCTGATACACTAGGGCACATCATAAAATTACAACCGGTGGTTCATCATGCACATGCATTTGCAGCGTATTTTTCACATCAGCTTCACAATGTTACCTTTTTTGTCCTTCCCTAGCAGAACAAGTTTGGGTGGGTACAGAGGGGTCTCAGCTAATGAAGGGTGAAGTTCCCCAATCCTCATTTCATTAGCTGGATGAACAAAAGAATCCTGAGAGATATAATAATACAGGACAAGGAAAGTAAACATTTAAACAGCGGTTAACCAAGATGGCAATATCTTTATTTGGTTCAGACTCAAAGATGTGATTGGAAGATGTAATTTACCCTGGGGCATCAGGGAAAATGAACCATATATATTTCTAAGTAACACACTAGTTTTTTTTCCCCAATGCGAGTCCATTTATTTATTAGACTTAAAAAAAAGTTGTTTATATGCTTGGCACTGTGCAAAGAACTGTGGAGGTCCCAAAGAAAGATAAAATGTGGCTCTCTGGAAATCTATAACATCATTCAGAGATGAAGTAGAACTCATCTTAATAGAGCACTGAATTGTGAGAAGCCCTCTGTGAATAGTGTGATTCATAATGGTCTATACACAGAATTCCAAGTAATGAACTCAGAGTTCTAAGTGCAATCATATCATTGACTATATATATGTATTCCCCTTGCCACATTAATGAGCTACCAGCCCTATGCAACCTGTGCTTTCTGCCATTCTTCCTATTGGTCCTTCCAGTTTCCTAATGATTGTTCCTACAGTTTCCTGGTGATTGTCTTCTCAATTATTTAGTTCTAGCATGACTTTTTCCTAAGGTTTCTAGTTTTCTTATGACCAGTGAAGCCTGTTAGGTCTTTATTCGATAGCCATCCACCTAGTGAAGGTGGTACAGAATGTAACTTCAGAGTGCCAAGTGAACGAACCTATTAAACAAAACAAAAACTATTTTTTTTTGCTGGTCTTGGGGCTTGAACTCTGTGCATGGGAACTGTCCCTTAGCTCCATTTGCTCAAGGCTAGCACTCTACTAGTTGAGCTACAGTATGACTTTCAGCTTTTTCTGTGATTAATTGGAGATAAGAATCTCACTGATTTTCCTGCCCAGATTCTCAGATCTCAGCCTTCTGAGTAGCTTGGATTAGAGGCATGAGCCACCAATGCCTGGGATATTATTATTATTATTACTATTATTATTATTATTTACATTAGCAGTGCTTGAATTCAGGGCCTTGCACTTAGTAGGCAGGTGCTGTATGCAATTTGAGTCATGCTCCCTGTAGAACAAAAAGTCATGAATTTTGAACTTGTATAATTCAATTCATTCTTCCCAGTTAACCAGGCAGTAGAAGAACATTAGGGAAGACAAAATGCTAAATTCTCATTTTCTTTTTTTTTTTTTTTTTTAATTCTCATTTTCTTTTAACACAAAAATGTCTTGTCTTCGCTCATAAGTAATTTACGTGTGACAGCTACCTGAATGTCTCTCTTTTAGTTTTATGCTAATTCAAGTTCCAAGGAGAATTTATGTTTGTTTCCTCGTAAATGTCTTGTCAGTTTGGAACACTAACCTAACATACATAGAAGTATTTTGTTTAAATCAGAGAAATAGTATCATTGGCCAAAAGTATCAGAAATTCAAAAGGAGAAGAAGTAATTGATTAAAACTCTTAGTGAAAAGTTTATATATCTCCAAGATTACAGGCTCAGGTTGAGGGGTAATGTAGGAAAATATATATAGTACATTTCCTTAATTCTTTATCACCTTTTATCTTTTGGATTTTTTAAAGAAGGGGTTAGGTTTGTATGAAAATATTTGAAGGGTGGAGTGCTGGATGAGAATATTAAAAGAGGTGACACTAATTAAGATACCCTGTCTTCATAAATTGCTCTGTTGAATGGCAACTCCTTTATACAACTACTTAAAGAAAATAAAAGTATATTAAAAATTTCAATCTGAAAATTATTTTTTTTTAAAACAAGCCACCAGGCACCAGTGGCTCACACCTGTAATCCTCGCTACTCAGGAGGCTGAGATCTGAGAATTGCAGTTTAAAGCTAGCCCAGGCAGGAAAGTCTGTGTGACTCTTATCTCCATTAAACTACCAGAAAACCAGAAATGTTGCTGTAGCTCTAGTGGTAGAGTGCTTGCTTTGAGCTGTAGAGCTAAAGACAGCACCCAGGCCCAGAGTTCAAGCCCTACTACTGACAAAAAAAAAAAATCAGTATAACATGACAGATCTTTTAGTCCAATTGTTTTGTTGTCTAGATGTAGATTTCTGGAGCTATTTCAGGCTGAGAGTCTCTGTTAATAAAACAACAATCCTGCATGGAAGTAGCATCTGGACCTAGTCTATCTTCCTTATATTGTGCTATGTCTTGGTGAGGGAACATGAGGAACCCAAAATGTAGAATCAGTCTTGAAGAGAGATCAGAGAGAGACTGGCTTGATGAATATCCTGAGGCTGAAGAGATAAACCAGGGTTTTTTCATAGACTTTGAAAATAATGTTGAAGTTTAATATGAGGCACTTATGATAAAGTTTCAAGGTGACATAATAGAGAATAAAAGCCTTTAGAGACATAAGTCATCTTTCTCCTGCTTCACCTATCCTAATCCTAATTAGGATCTTGTTATTATAGTAAATTTATTTATCAGGTAGACTTTCATGATCACACAGCTATTTTGAGATTGAACTGTGCTTGCCTGACATTTAAATATAAAGTATATATGTGGGTACCTGCTAAGTATTTTTGCTTCCCCTTTTACATTGTAGTAATATCTTAGTGAAATACAAACCTGCTTATAGCATATGTGCAATATTTTAGAAAATAAAAAAGGACAATAATATTTGTTTTACAGGCGAAAAACGAATACTTAAATTTACTTCCTTAGCTATGCAGGCACAATCTATTTTTCCAGGGCAGACACCTCTGCTTTCTCTGCTTAACTTTACTAGAGTCTTTTCTTCTTCTGCAACACTTTCCCCTCATTATCACTTTGAATTCAAGGCCTTCTGTTTCCTAAGCAGGCACGCTATACCATTTGAGCCATGCTCCCAGAAAAAACAAAGCCATGAATTTATAACTTGTAGAATTCAAATCATTCTTCAATCTCAATCTTTTTTATGCATTTCAGCACTAATAAGGCATCAAATTCTTGACCACACGTTTTCCTATATATTCATTGGTCACTTGTATGTTATGTTCATCTAGCTAGGCTTATATTATTTGAGGACTAAGGTCACATTTTTAATTTCTTTTTCATTTTTCTCTCACAGTGTTTAGCACAGTGCAATACATAGTTGGTGATCAATGAACGCAACAAATTGATGCTTTGAAATGCAGATCTGTAAAAGAGTTTTATCAATCTAGATTTTAGAGAAGTAATATGAATTTACAGGCATACTCATACCAATTATGTTTTTAGTGATGATAAAAGATGGTAACTAAGTTAGTTGAAGAATTGATGGGAGAGTAGAGGTGGCATAAATGTAGTTGAATTCTTTTCAGACCACTCAAATCAGTGAAGATGGACTTCTGACTTATTCTGAAATATAGGATTTAGACTTTGCACATCTAGATTCCATAAACCTCTATGTTTCTGTCATCCCCCTATTTTGGTGTTAATAGTCATGTTTTCTACAAAGAGACTACCCAACACACACACACAAATGTAAAATTTTTTCTCTATACCTAAGTAGGAAGTTCACTGAAAATTGCCAAATGAAATATCCTCAGAGCTTTTTCTAACAACTGATAAAATAAAAATTTGGAGCATCCAAAATAATACCACTGATGGAACACATTTACTGTCTAGGCCAAGGTAGGGGACAAGCTATTCAATCTGTGTGTACTAGAACTTTTGGAGGTGTAGTAATGATTTTTAGGCTATGAGGGTATCATGCATCTTTGAATTATCAAACACAACCCTCATAATTTGAAGGCATAGAAAGATCATTTATATTTTAGGAAGAAATGCACTTATCAAGGAAGATATATTGTGTTCTTAAAAACGTACCATTTAGAATTCCAAAAAATCCAAACCACACTAGCAATTACCAATAACCTTCAAATACCTCCACTGTAATCTCCTTGGGTGCTACCGGCCACTTGTGTTCAAATTTTTCTTTCACAGTTTGCTCCGTGTTAGCAGTTGGGTTTGAATTCTCAACACGCACTCCATGGCTTGGCTTACCCACCAGATTTTGAACAGATTTTACCATATTCTTTAAATCCTCTGGGTAAGGAGTTGGATATCGTTTTAGGTTTATTTCAACCTAGAAGTTTGTAAAAAGAAATTTAACATAAAAAAAAAATCACTTCAGCAAGCATGTTTAGAAAGCTACTCCATCTTATGTGCAGAAGTATAACCAAATGCAATACAGTGAGTGTTGAGCTGGCTGAAAAACTGCTACTGAGTAGAACACTATGTGTTCTCCTGCTTAGTATCATGGGACTTCACCCCATCACTTCCCACACTTCTAGATTATGAATAAGTTTTGGAATATATCATCTCCAAATGGCTACCTATTCGTTGGATGGTTAAAATAGCTTTAGGTCAAGTTATTAATCTCTGAAAATTTTAGTCAATTTATTATCCAGTGCTTTCATCCTTCCCTATTTTAATTATTTATAAATCATAATTTTGATATTAAGAATATCCTTGGAGAATAAATTCAGGTAATGGGAAAAAGAGCTACAAATAGAGTTGTACAATGAAAGAATGTAGAACTGGCCTAACTGTTACCCAAATATGAATTAGCCTAAATACTTAATTGCATGTTTCATCAAAAGTAGAATGATCTAATTGATATTAATATGTAAGAAAAATGATCTGGAAGGCTTTTATATTTGGTTTTAGCTTTAATAAAATAACATGCTTCTTGGGTAATATCTTTTAGCTAAAGGAAACAAAAAAATGAGGCTATTTTTCTAAGGTATTGTAGGTAAATGTACGAAGTTTAGTTTGTGTTTGTTTAGCTATTTCCATTTTTGATTCACTGTGGGGTACCAATCTGGCTTTCTGGAATACACAATAATATCTACTTTTAGTACAGAATTGAGTCATATAGAATATCCTACCATTGGATTATTTAGTATAATATATTTAAAGTGGAATAAGTTGTCCATGCTGATTGAGTGAGTGGAGGAAAATAGGCAGATTTATCTGGCCTACCTTGTTTCAACAGTCCTGGCTTTTTGAATCTGAGTAGAATCAACTTTTCAAAATGGAATGATTTATGTGGCTGTGGATAATTGCATATGAAGGTGGGGGGGGGGTGTGAGCAGAAAAAGTAGAAGAGAATTGAAGGTGGAAGGCAGAGTGGGGAACAGAAGAAAAGAGAAATTACACCTATGTAATACATGGCATGTAAAAGACTATGATGGTGAATAGACCTGAAGAGTATGAATGAGATTTCAAACACTTTTGCTCATCTGCAGTTTTAGCATTCCACCAACTGTGCTTTGCCTTTCTTTCAAGTGTTTTTGTCTTCCTTTGGCTCATTTTCCTAATGAAACATCAAGATTGCACTTTGTTATATGATTCTAACATGCCTTTCTTAAGAAAAATATAAAATTACCTTTCCAATATACACTTGGAAAACATACCAAAATCTGGATTTTTTTGGCTAAAGTGCCATCTAAATTCAGCCCAATCTCTTTTCCACTCTCATATAAATTAGAATAAAATTACTAATTTAGTAGATTTAGAGCTATAATAATCCAAGATAAAATTAGACTTTACAGACATAAAGTATAAGTTGTTAGGGTATACTATTAATATATCCCTGGGGAGTTAATTTATAATGCAATCTTAAATAAACAAAAACAAAACTCAATGATATTTGTGCTAGAAAAAGTGCACTGGGTGCATGCATTCATGGACTTGCTGTTTCAACTGATATTAGAAACATTCATCATGTATCTAATCTAATTTTCAAATTAGATTGCTGAGCTTGGTGAAAAAACTTGACACAAAAGAGCTTTAATTCACATACTGTGTTGTAAAAATGTAAATTAGGGGCTGGGAAGGTGGCTCAGTGGTAGAGCGCTTGCCTTGCATGCATGAGGCCCTGGGTTTGATTCCTCAGCACCACAGCAAAAAGGAAAAAGCCAGAAGTGGCGCTGTGGTTCAAGTGGTAGAGCGCTAGCCTTGAGCTGAAGAGCTGAGGGACAGTGTCCAGGCCCAGAGTTCAGGCCCCACGACCGGACCCTCCCCCCAAAAAATGTAAATCATACAATGGTATGACTATTGTGGCACAAAGAACATTATTTAAAAAAATAATCATGGCATATGAGTGAAGGAAAAAAGTCTAAAGGAAGGCATTAAACTAAAATTCCATGCAACTTAAAAGTCCTCAGTAAAAGAAATATGAGAATTTTTCTTTCATTGCATAAAATACTTCATTGAATAATATAATTTACTTTTAATAGATGCTAGATCCTATGTGACACAATTAGACAACCATTTACTGATGGTCATGATAGTAATGGTTCCTGGTTATTTTAACCAGTCTTATCACTAGAATGCCTTTAAGCCTTTTGTTTCTGTGAAAACTTCTAATACAGAAACATTTACCATGAAGCTGTTGGAGCTTAAATTTTAGGGCCTGTCACTTTACCCATTTCTTCCACAGCCTTGTGAGGTATCCTGTTTGTTTATTTGTTTGTTTTATGTGGTCATCTTATATGGTTTCCCCAAAAGTGGCCTTTTCCCAGATTTTGGACTCTCAGGTCTCATAAAATTTGATTTGTTTCACCTAGAAAATCAGCTCATTGCTTCCTATGAACTGGTTTTCTCATTGAAGTCATTGGGCCTGGAATCAGAAAGTGTAAATTCCAGCCAAAGGTTTAACCCAATCTGCTAATATGTAATTTCTACTCATGAAAAATAGAAATGATGATATCCTTTCCAAAATATTTAAGTTAATTTAAAGCTAAAATGAGATAAATGTGAAAGTCTTTTGAAAATTGGTAAGCTCTAGGCAGAGAATAGCTATCTAACATCATATTTGGCTTTACAAGGTCTTAAAGTCTGGATTTCCTTTGCTATATATCTAATCTGTAACATTTGCAATTGTTTAAACTTTTTCCTGAAAACTTAATGCAGCAGCAGTTATAATTTATTATCTATCATGTTCAAGGTATCATAATAACTGTTTAATAGTAGTGATATTTATTATTAATTGTATAATATATAATACTATTTTTAATTCCTCCTCTAAGTTTAAATATAATTTACTATCTATTTGCTAAATAATTAACAATTACTTGTTAATTATAATAGAATGAGTAATTAATTGTGGCTATTTTACACAAAGAAAATTAAGGCTTAGATAATATAATTAAGGTAATATCAAACTCAGGTTTATCTGACTTCAAGGTTTATGGCATACCAGGGCTACTTAGCTCTAAAATTTATTCCCTGGTGCAGCGGCAGCGCATACATGTATCAGCTTGTGGAAGAAATACTCTAAGTCTAAAATGTAAATTTTACTTAGTTAAATACTAAGATAACCTCAGGTTTTTTTTTTTTAAAGCACTGGGGATTGAACTCAGGCACTTTACCACATAAGCCATGCCTCAGATATTGTTTTTCCTGGTTATTCTTGAGATAGGACCTCACTTGATACCCAAGATGGCTTGGCCTGATATTCTCCTACTGGTGCTTTCTGGTGTTGGTGGGGATAACAGGTGTACATCACCACACCTTAAGTTCATTAAAAAGTAAACTAAATAAGTACAGTTTAATGATTTGTTTGAGATGAAATTATACTACTTTTATAATATAATTTTTGAAAGCTCTGTTCAAGCATATTGATTCCATTTTTGTTGTTGTTGTTGTTGTTGGTCATGGGGTCTGAACTCTGGGCCTGAGCGCTGTCCCTCAGCTCTTCAGCTCAAGGCTAGCATTCTACTACTTGAGGCACAGTGCCACTTCCGGCTTTTTCTGCTTATGTGGTGCTGAGGCATCGAACCCAGGGCCTTATGCATGCAAGGCAAGCACTCTACCACTGAGCCACCTTCCCAGCCCCATATTGATGCCATTTTACAGATTGTTTCCCTACTTTTCAATTCTCAGTATTTTGGAAATGAATAAACATGATCACAAACAGTTATGGTAATATTTTAGTGATACTCAGAAACAGAAGCAGTTTCTTTATGCTTTTGCATCTATAGGGAGCAAATATTCCCTCATAATATATAAAAATTAATATATAATTAATTATATAAATTAATTTCTTATATGTAAAACTGAGAATATCTACTGTTATATTTTTGTCTCTCTATATTTATCACTCACTATAAAGTATTTGCTCATGTCACATATACATATCATTAGAATACAAGAGTTTTACTAAAATATTATTTTATTTTAATTTTGGAAAATAGAAATGTTTTTGCAACGTTCTACATCTCTCAAATCTAAATAAAGTTTAGTAAATGCAAACAGCAGCTGCAAGATGCTGGAACCTCTACCCCCAATTCAGTAACACAGAAAGAATTGCTTAATAGAGAATGCTTAGGAATTTAGAAATGATATCTTGAGTTCATATTGAACTGTTTCTCATATATTATATTAAACTTGCTTAATATAATATATTTCACAGAATGATTAAATTCTAGTTTGATTGTAAATTCCAGTAAGAGAAATAATGGTGTTTTGACACTGATTATTAAACATTACATTCCAGGAATTAACCAGACTGTTTTACAGAGAAAGGAAACAGCATTTTCAGTGAAGAAATTGCATTATCAGCTTGTCTTATATGGAATATAAGACATAGAATAAGAATCTAGTCCATTACATGTGGATGGTAAAATTTACAAAAAAATTCAGCATTCTAACATATTTCATGAAGACATATTTTTCTTCCCATTAACTTCTTAACCACCCACCCACTGGGATGAGCAATTTCTATTTGCCATAACTGCCAACCCGATCTTCTCTTACAGGAATTCATACCATCTGTGTCTTCAAATTAAAGGAAACTGATGCTTTTCAACAGATGTCTATCTTTGTGTCCAAAGTCCACTCTCAGCAAATCTCAATTTAAACTCATGCTATTTTAAGAAGCAAGCTTTAGCTACTTAATCTTCCCAGAACTAACACTTCTCATGCATCAGGAGGACAATTTCGAGGCCACCAATACCGCTATCAACATTCTGCCCAACTATTGGTATTCCCACATTTTTAAATTAAAAGAAAAAAATGTAAGTAAGAATGGACCACCCAATTTAAAAAACAAAACAAAACAAAGCCTATGGCAGTGTCCCCACCAACAGAAGCCTTGCATGATTCCCCCCCCGTCTGACTCAATCCACCCCACCTCTTACCAGTGTCAATAAGCAAAAAAAATGAAATGAAATTGGTATCAAACGCTGGCAATCTGAGGGGTTTAATGTGATCGACATTTTTTTATTACCCCAAATCATGCAGAACATACCCCATAAACCACTGTTCCAAGGTTGCCTCTAATGGGAATTCTCCTACCCCAAACACCTAGGCCTACCTGTCTGCCACTTAGAGAGGGAAGAGTGGTGGATTGTGCTGCAACTGGCAATGGAGTACACATGCTCCTCTCCTGCTGGAGGCCACTTATACAACCCCATGCCAGCTGTGGGTCATTCTGGGGGACGGGCAAATCTTGAATCTGCTGATCACACCTGGCCCATGGTGTGCAGCAATCGCCAGACAGTCTGGCAGGTTGGAGAGTAATCCCACGCTGGCCCCTGTCCCAGGGGGCTTGGCAGGACAGATCCTGTGGGAGAAGGAATCTCCATTTTCTGGGAGAAAGAGGAGCACTGTAGCAACACTTTCACTTTATCATTTTTCTACTCTTTTTTTTGTTTCATCTGGGTAGTATATTTAAAATGACCATCATTCAAAAGAGTGTTAAATGCACGTTATAAGACAGTACCAATCTCACATGGAGCTGTCATGATCACAACTGCTTCACGCACTGCAGACTCACACTACACTATTACATTGTAAGTAGGGCATTATACTCTAGTCCATTTAAAAAGTCCTTCTTAAATATCATGTAAATTTAAGGTAAAATGGTGCTAAATTGAATGTACATGTAATGAACCAGAAAAGTGTGGTTAATTTAATATACAATTTCAATATATTTCATTCATCATATTCCCATGATGATTTATTTAGAAGTTTGTTTGTGCTCTAATTTGTCCAATAGCCCTTGGCATTGGGAATATACAAATTAGTCCAAGCCAAGTAGTTAGAGAAATTTTTGGAAAAACATATTGTTTTACCAAAATATAAATAAACCAAATAAAACACACATGGAGAGAAAACACTCTAAAGTATAATGAACTTACTTTGATTATAAACAAACCTAACCACATAACACACAAACAGGGCTTCTAAATAACTGTTTCCATTTCTATATTTTATGTTTTCATCAACACATACACCAGAATTTATAAATGCACTCTATTTTTGGATGCTTTGAATGTAGCTTTTTAAGAAAAAGCATGTGGCTTTTGACAATTCAATGAAATATAAAAATGAACCAGCAATCCAATATAGAATGCATTTTCCATTGATTCTAGATATAACATATGAACTAAAATGGAACAAAATGTTCCAACTTTTTGGTTTATTTCTGGGAATTTTCAAGTTAAAAAAATTGTCTCTTTGGTTGATAAGTGACAATAACCAACCATCCAGAAACATTTTTTTAAACCCAAATGCTTACCAAAAAATTGTCACTTTGAATTTGTCAGTCTAGTTTGGGTTTTGCATAAAGATGTAGATAGGCCTTATTGGTAAATGCTCTGTTACCTTACAAAGTAAGGTTCTAGAAATAATAGTTTAAGAGATAATGTTTAGAAAAAGTAGACAAGGGGGAAACAGAGAACACGTTATGCAAATCTAAATTTATAAACAGGATGCATATACCATTTCTTAGGTAATTAGTTACTATCACACAATCTATATTTATGAATAGGATACATATACAATTACTTAAATGAGTTATTAAGGGTGAAAACTGTTAGTACCCATGATGGAAAAGGTACACAAATGCTATAAAAAAGTTAATGAGAGATTCAAGGTGTTACCATGACAATAACATAAAAATTGGGTGTTAATAAAATCTAAGTCAATTCTGATGACATTTCACAATTTAAATAATGGAAAAGTACAGATTTTAAGCTTTACCTTGGTTAGTTGACTTAAATTAGTCGCAAAAAGTACTTAAGAAAATGTGTCCTGGGATAAAGAAAAAAGGCTGTTTTCCCTAAGGAACACTCCCATACTATTAGGTACCCACATTTCAAAGTTCTCTTCAAATTTAAGAAAACTCATAAATTATTCTAAACTATCCCAGGGACACAGAAACTTCCAGAGTTTTAAAGGCACTGAACATGTTAACTAGGAGCCATTTCTGCATAATGTCTTGCTTAGTGATTAAAAATACTGTTTCAGTATGTTCAAGATGAAATAATGTGTGTAGGTGAAGTTTGTCACCAAGGTTTGTTTATTTTAACTTTCTGTCAGCTTGAATCTCTCTCAAGCTGTTCTCTGTAGGGTAGGGCAGAGGCAGGGATGGGGGCTTATCAAACTTGCTCAGTCAGCGTTGGGGCATGAGTTTCATTCTGAATCTCACCAATGCTTCATAAACTACCAGTCTGCCATAATGAAAATTACCACCATCAGACTTCAAGGTGCCATTTAACCTTCCAACAGAAGTCATTTAATTTGTCTACAGATCTATCTGAAGAGAAATAACGGACAAGCAAAAGAGAATTAAGAGAAGAATGGAGAAACAAAGGCTAAAGGGTTCACCTTAACTTTCCCAGCACTTTCATCATCTTCTTTTTTTTCCTCAAATTCAAAGGCAACAGTCATGCGTTGTTGTCTCTGTTCTTCCCACAGGGTAGGATTAAAGCTGTCACTGTCTGACTGGAAATCTACAGTTAGATTCCAAAATATTATTGCTTTTATTTTATTTTTTTAACACAGAGTATTACTAACAGAGATTAATATACTATATAAAAAAGAACCTCCGGGGTATATACTACAAGTGTAAACAAAAATAATAAAAAAGAGGAAAAGGAATGAAAAAGAAAGAAGGATAGGAAAAAACAGACTAAAAGAAGGCAAAAGGAGAAAAAGAATCCTTGATCATTTATTATGTTGTGTTTCACATTTTAACTTAACTTAAATATAGCTTTCATAAGCTTTAACACTACTTTCCTCGGGGCATTGAGAAAATTTCTATTGTGGGAATTCCCTTCCCATAGATAACAGTAAGGAAATAGAGAGCAGGACAAACCACTTTTAAACAGATTCTTATTCTCACAGCAATCTCACAGTAGCATAAAGGTCACAATTAGTTTGCTAAGGAAGAAACTATAGTTGAGCTTTAAGATAGTTGTGCAAAGTCACACAGCTTCTCTATACCTAATACAGAATCTATTTATGTCCATATGATTGAGGGAGCCAATATTTGTAACTAGTAAACTCTTAGCAGATTTTTTTATTTTAAAAATAAAAGATACTAGATAACATCTGTTTTGCAATAAAGTGCCCATGGTTTATTCTTTGTATATATGTACAATACATATATACATACATATGGAGGGAAGCTTGTTTTCATGTGAAAAATTTAGTCTTCGTTAAGGCTTAATTAGCTTGAATGTGTCTCAAATTATATATATATATATATATATATATATATATATATATATGTATGTATCTATCTATATATATTAAATCTTTAGTATGCATCAAAATTTCAGCTAATGATATTATCTTCTTTGCAATGAAGTTGTGAAGATCATAAAAATATAACAAAGGGGCTGGGAAGGTGGCTCAGTGGTAGAGTGCTTGCCCGTCATGCATGAGGCCCTGGGTTCAATTCCTCAGCACCACATAAGAAGAAAAAGCTGGAAGTTGGGCTGTGGCTCAAGTGGTAGAGTGCTAGCCTCGAGCTGAAGAGCTGAGAGACAGCACCCAGGCCCAGAGTTCAGGTCCCATGACCAGAAAAAAAATATATATAATAAAAACATTTAGTAAAGGCTACATTTGTTCCAAAATAATAGCCTTTATTATATTCTTCTTTGTTGTAAGGGATTCTGAAAGTGCATTTATTACATTTCTGCCTGGCAAACCACAAGTTGACTTTTTTGAAGTTCATGAAAAAATTTCAGTGAATAATTTTTTTTTTACTCAAAGGAAAAACAACAAAACCCAACCAAGCAACAAATGCCAATTGTTTTACTTCATACTCTCCAGGACCACATCCATTCTACCCTGGAACAAATTAGGAATTTAATTTGTAAGATTAGACATTCAAAAAGGATCTGTGAATTCAAGAGACTTTTAATTTTTACTCTATATTCTTTTTTTTTTTTTCTATATTCTTTTAAAATGAATTATTTCCAAGACATAGAAATATTAAACTGAGATATAACACACTACATAAATAAAACACAGTCTTTAAGATTTTTCCTTTATGATGTGTAAGCATGGTATCTTTTCTTTCATTAATTCAAAGGATCAATTTTATTGAGATCTGAAAAATATGCATCACATCATCATTCATTTTCTTCCTGCTATAAGTACAAATTTAAATAAAAATATTCCAAAATATTCCCCAAACTATCCACTTAATTTGGAAGTCATAGATTAAAGCTGTTTGTTATAATTATTCATGAAAATAAGAGATACATATGCAAATGTTAATCTGATTCAAGTAGATTGAGTGGATTTAATCCATAGCTGGCTTTACATGGGTTTAATTTATATAATTGTAAAAAATGGAAAAGTCAACCCATGCTGACTTGGGCTAACTTTCAAATAGCAAATGACAATTATTCTCTTTAATTTTTCAAATAAATAATATGAACACAGGGTAGAAGATTTAATTTGTGAAACAATATTTCTATCATAGTTTCAGACATTGTTTAGGAAAAAGTGATCTTGGAAAAGAAAGATGGTTGTTATTTGAAAGTCATATCTCTTGGTTAATTTATAATGAAATAATTTAGGACCCAAGATCACAAGGAACAATTTTTTTTTTTTTTTTTAATGACTTAAAAAATGTTCTTATTCTAATTGCTCTACCCCTCTCTCCCTCTTTCTCTCTCTCTTTATCCCACCTTCCCTCTCTCTCCGTCTCTCTCTCTCCCCCCACCACCCCCATGACTTGAACTCAGGTTCTAGGTACTGTTTCTGAGCTTTTTGTGTTCAAGGTTAGTGCTCTATCTCTTGAACCACATCTCTACTTCTGGGTTTTATTTTATTTTTTTCCCCTTACCATCCCTTCCCCTCCCCCCCCTACTTCTGGCTTTTAATTGGAGATTAGAGTCTCATGGACTTTGCTGTCTAGCTTGGCTTTGAACCACAATCCTAAAATCTCAGCCTCCTGAGTAGCTAAGAGTGAGCCACTGATGTGCAGATCTGACTGCTCTCTTCTTACTGCAGTTAACTGGGTACCACAATTTGGCTAACTCATCTTATGTGTGGCAATTGATCAAGAGAAGATAGAAGTTGTGTCTAAATGTCAACATTATTTTCATGTAAGATATATAGAGGAACTGTTTTTTTTTTTTTTCGGTCCGGTCGTGGGGCCTGAACTCTGGGCCTGAGCAATGTCCCTCAGCTCTTCAGCTCAAGTCTAGCACTCTACCACTTGAGCCACAGTGCCACTTCTGGCTTTTTTATTTTTCTGCTTATGTGGTACTGAGGAATCAAACCCAGGGCCTCATGCATGACAGGCAAGCACTCTACCACTGAGCCACTTTCCCAGCCCACTGTTTTTTTTAAATCATACTTAACAAAGAGCGTAGGTACATGCTTTCATGAACTCCTAAAGTGATATATATATTATATTATATATTATTAATATATATTATCATTATCTGCACAGGTCTTCTTCTCCACAATCATGATGAATACAAAAGAAACCTCTATTGACAACTTACCTTCATCACCACGAGGTTGCTGGGGAAACATGTAGTTGGTCAACACTCTTTGCTTTGTTTCTGGATGGGCTTCCGTTTGTAAAGGGATAAGAGCTTTGGACTACAAGCAAGAAAGCATAGATTGTATGACAAAAACAGCAACATGAAGAACGTCCATTTCAGATAAGATAATGGTGAATAGTTTAGCCTCATGGTGATGAATGAATGGTCAAAAGAAAGTGAATGTAAAAGAAGAATCAGAGTATAACATAAAATAAGACTATTGCTGAGAAATATTTTCAAATTCTAAGATTTTCATAATAAGATTTTCTTTTTCTTTAACATGCTATTTTACAAAACTTACCAAACCTATTCAACTGTGCAATGTCAGTTTTAATCCTGCAGAAACCAGAGTATGTTAAATTGCTCAGCTAAGTAAGCTTTTAATATGGTTCTATAAGCTTATTCATTTTCATGGGCAGATGCCCTAGAAAGACAAAGGTAACTTGCTGTCAAATTCACACTACACAGATCATCTAAGAATTTAATTAGGTTGAAACATAAGCATTCATTTCGTTTTCAGAGATACTTGAACAACAGTACCTATATCTGATATACTTATGATCAAATTTGAACATCTGGTATTAATTTGATTTCAACTACTTTTTAGAAGGATTTGTAAAAACAACTCATATATTCTAGCAATATACTGGAAATGGCCGTATTATCTAATGTATTTAGATTTGCTTGTTTCAAGACACTTACTAATAGAAAACCACCGTGTCTCATGAAACTGTCTGAAACACATTAAGACAGTGCTTAAAATACAAGGGCACAATAACTTCTGCGTTCATAATACTATAATGATAATAAATCATGGTATTGAGGGATGTTTCCCACAATGAAGAATGGTAGAACATAACTCCTCTATTAGTATAGTTCACATTGATTCTTTTTTATTAATAAGTTTTTTTATTGTGAAAATACTGTACTGAGGGGTTACAATTACATGAGCAAGGTAATGAGTACATTTCTTATCAAGCATTGTTGCCTCCTCCTTTGTTTCCACTTACTATCCCTAACCTCCTTCCCCTCGACATTGATTTTTTTTTTATTGTGAAAATACTGTACAGAGGGGTTACAATTACATGGGCAAGATAATGAGTACATTTCTTATCAAGCATTGTAGCCTCCTTCTTTGTTTCCCCTTCCCATCCCTGACATTGATTCTTAAACTGACTTATCTAGAATGACTTATAGATGCTGGGAGAATCAATAGCTTTTTGACAAGCTTTGAATATGCTTGACAAAGTAATTTTTTACTGTGTAAATGAAGACAAGTGCTATAAATTAATTGAAGGAAAACATACATTATCTTGCATGTGTATTTTTGTAATTTGTAGAAGTAATTTTTGATTTTTCACAATATATCCAAGTAGCTAGACTTTTGAATAATACATTTGTCAATAATAGTATTTTTTTTGCTCAGGAAATAATGGTAAACTCAACTCAAAATGAATTGTTTTAATTTATTCATATTTTTGGATCTGTGTTTCAAAATTCTAAGAACAAAAGAAAAGAAGACTAATAAACTATGTCCCAATTCCATCACTATTTCTGGTGGTAAATTATATGGCTACATTTTTTCTTGTTACTTTCTAGTTAATAAAAGTATTCATTAACACTCAATTCAATCAAAATGTATTTTAATGAGGAGGAAAATAATATTCAAATTTCACAAAAATGATGATAACAATTACTAAAAGATATCAGCAAATTTCTTAAATAAAATTTTAGATTGAAGTTGATTGTAATTAAAAGCATGAGAAGGCAGAAAGAAGATAAAATAATTCCCTCTTGTGGGGATCTTGTTAATAATTTCATATTCTTTACCTTCTGAGATATAATTAAAGTATATCCTCTAAGGACAAATGTGTACCACCAGGAGCTAACATACTAGAAAATTATCATTTTTGTGTTTTGTATCTCTGACAATGAAGCTCCTATTAAATCTACAGACTTGAAAAGGATACAGTTTTAAGTAGTTTTACCTATAGCAATAGTTGAATTGGTACCTTTATAAAAGTCTCTTGTAGGGGATAACAAACCTATATTTTGTAGCAACTGTAGAAGGTACCTATTGAAAACAAGTTGGCAATCTAAAGTTTCAATTATAGCTTGCCCTAATGAACAAAATGAATAAAATAGGCAATAAAAAGGGTTTGTACCTGGTTGTCAGAGAGCCACAATGCTGCAAGTTCTTTAAGTTTTGTAAATGAGAATGGTAAATTCTTCAATCTGCAAACAATAAAATTCTAATAACATAGGTGAAGATGATAAAGTTCATTTCTAAGAAGCATCATAAAATACGCTAATGTGTCTCCCTGAAAATTTAATATGAAATTTGATATATTCCCATCATCTCCAAATCTGGTAGCTCAGTGACAAGAAAATAATATTGGTATGACATGACGTATTCCTTATTTTCTGGTTTTTGTTTTTATTTTTCGCAGTACTGGAGTTTGAACTCTGAACTTCACATTTGCTAGGCAAAGTACTGTATCACTTGAGTAGTCTCCAGCTTTTTGATTTTATTAATTTTTTTCTCCCAAAAGTTCTCTTTTTTTTTTTGCCCAGGCCAGCCTAGAATATGATCTTGTTGATGCTATATGCATAGCTCAGATCATGGCGTGTATCACCACATGCGATGCGGGTTTTGCTAACATTTTTCCTGGCTACCTTCAAACTGTGATCCTCCTGATCACCATATCCTGAGTAGCTGAGATTACAGACATGAGCTATAATGCCTGGCTCACCCTGACTTACTTTTGGTGTACAAGGTCTTGATACTTCCATGTCATCTTGGTTGATTTGTACAACTCTAAACCTATTAATAAAATGTTTATTCTCTTGGGAGGGAATTTTATTTAACTTATAAAAGGGAGTGTTTTAAAACCCATATTACTTGTTTCTTAAATAAATAACTACACTGCCATACTTATCCTGATGCTTCTATGAGTATTCTCTAGGATCACATGAAGGTTCATTGTGATAGTTTCCTTGCAAGGTCTTCGAGTTCCTCATACTATCACTTGTCTGACAAAAATTTACTGGAGATTCCATTTTGTAATCACTTTACCAAACTACTAGTTAATTCCAGTCAATATTTACTTTTATCCTTTCTTATTCAAGGATACTTGTTTCATAGAGAATTAAAAACAAAAATGAATTTTAGACTTTCAGGTTTTCTGTATAACCATCCACAAATATAACACTTTTTATCACAAGAAGAGGATCTGTCTTTATCTGTTGATCCTTTTCTGAACATAGCTAATAGCTATTGGATTGCCTTTACTCTAATGTGCAAACATTAAGACTCTTGAGTAGACTTATTTGAGCATTAGCAGTAGTTTTACTAGCACTCTGGTGGAGTTGAAATATATGAATTTCCAGGTGACTTGTAGGTGTAAATATATATAAGGTTGGGCTGGGAGGAAGGAGGGATTGGTGAAAGAAGTGACATTGATCACGCTGCATTGTACTTATGAACCAATTTGTTGAATAGTAACCCCTTTATACTACTACTTACAGATAATACAAATAAAATTAAAATATATTTGGGGCACTGTTAGGGTTTTAATCCAGGGCTTTTTGTTTGTCAAGTACATGCTCTTCCAACTGAGTATGCCTTCAACCATTTTGCTTTGATTATTTTTGAGATAGGATCTTGTTTTGTGTCTGGGCCAGCCTATGCTTCCTGAATAGCTGTGATGAGCTGAAATATCATTAACATTTTTGCCTGGCCTGGCCTGGAACTGTGATCTTCCTGATTGTAGCCTCTCCCATTGCTGGAATGGCAGGAGTGTACCATTACGTCTAGCTACGCACATATTTTTATTAATATATTTTATAGCTTTTATTTCAACTATGTTTTTATTATATGTTACTATGCATTGAGCATATAGAAGGCTTTCTGTATACATGTGGGCACCAATACTCTGTAAAATTGCAATATAAAATTGCTAGGATTTTGCTATAGCAAAATAAAAAAGATTTAGAAATCCTTGGTTTAAAGATAATTCAGCCTCTGCCATTGTCTACCTAAAGCTGTGTACTTGAATTCCACATTCTTCACAAGATTCAGAAAACATCTGTAGAACTGCAGACAAACAGCTACAATTTGATTTTACTAAATAATACACAATTGTTAAATGTTGCTAGAATACCTGTTGTCGCTCAGATTTAATACTCTCAGTTTCTGCATCTGTCCAATTTCTTCAGGAAGAAATTCCAGCTTATTGGAGCGCAGAGACATAACTGTTACATTTTTGCAGCTTCCAATCTTTGGGCAATAAAGGAAAATAAGGAATCACAATGCACAGCTATTTTCATATTCAGTTTCCTAATTTATGGAACAATTTAACTCATGACTTCTTTTTCATCCTTTTATGCTTCTAGTATGTCTATTGCCTTCAGTTTTTATTTATGGTTTTTAAAAAGGAGTATATGGTTCTTAAAAAACATAAGAAAGAAAAGTTATTATTAAAATACTTTCCTTTTTATTTTACTTACTTTTTAAATAAATCAATTCCTTTTAAAATCAAAGTACTAATACATCTATATTTTCATACCAACAGAGCATATATATTCAAAAATGAAATACTATTGGTAGTTCTTCGGCAAAGCTAATTCTACTCACATTACAATGGTATTTGTCATGTTTAATCACAACTTATTGCTCTAAAATAGTGATATATTGATATATTGATTATTGTGCCACCTGTATGGAAACATTTAGTAAGAAGAATTAAGTTACAAACGTACTTCATTCTTTTAATTGTCACTAACAAACAAAATCCGAGGTGGAAATAAAAACAATCTCTTGGTAGCTCTGGAAATTAAAGTAATGTAGCAGCAACAGCAATTTGAGAAATGTATTTATGGTGAAAAAATCTTTAAAATATAATTATGCAAAATGTTATTTATAATTTCTTATACGCAAACATGTAAGTTAAATGTATTAAAATTATGTGCCTTGATATTGACTAACATAAAATAATTATTTTATCTTTTGCTGCATGCAAGATTTAAGTCAAAGCCAGGTGCATTTTCTAGGCTATATATATATAATTATATATATAATTATGTAAATTAATTCCTATATTTTTAAAGCTGAATTCATGAACCACAGTGCTATCATATCTATTAAGATTGTATTTCAGAACAGATACATTAAAAGTTTATGATAGAAAACAAATACGTTCTTCACCTCTCTGGGTAATTCTGGAAGGAAATTCTCATCAACTGCTAATGTTCGAAGACTATGAAGGTAGCCAATAGTTGAAGGTATCGACTCCAGCTCATTACAGCTACAGTCAAATTCTTCTAATAAAGACAAACTGAAATATAAAACACATTAGTTAGACATTCTAAAATGTTAAATGACAAACAAAAAACAAACTTTAGGAAAAAGTCACAGATCCAGATTTACCAAAGTGTACACAGTTGTTACATCACTTATGTAATTGTCAACTGGCTCAATATCATCAAATACATAATTTCATTTGGTTATTTGAATATGCTGAATTTTTTCTAAGTTCAACTGACTCTTAAAAAGGACAGAATGGTCTGTGGCCTTTTATTTATAACTCAGGTGTTATTTAAGCTAGATTTTCAGCATTTGTATTCTTGGAATGAAGACCTGTAACTGGAATTGAGTAAGCAGAAGATGTGGGTGGCAGGCCCAAGGAAGAGAGGATAAGAAAGAAAAAAATATAACAGCTGTCAAAAAATTGCTGCATATTTTACTGAATGCTTTATTACCTTTCCTTTAAGCAACTGTATTAGCTATCTGCTTTTAAAAAACCTATTTTACAGATAAGAAAATTGAGACTTAAAGAGGAGAATTAACCTTCTCTAAAGCCTCACAAAAGCAAATTGGGTCCTGAAGTGACAATGGATCTAGCATTTTGCCTTGCCTCTTTAGCTTGCACATCTTCAGTAGACACAAGGAACCTTTCAGCCTCAAGATGTGTTTTGTATGCTTTGACAGGTTTATACAGCGCAGTGAAATTTATATGATGACCCGCATTTCGGTGCCTCTTTCCACCATGGCAATCTTGGGTCTCTATTCTTCCCAGACAAGTACTGGAAACAGAGTGGTAACTGCTGCCTTCAAACAGGTACAGGTTTTTAGTTTGTCTCCAGTTTGTAATCATCCTTACCTCTCTATACTTACCCATTTTAACCCAGGCTACAGAAACTAATGTGGAAATATTCCCTGTAATTGTCACAAGGAAACAAAACACTTCAATGCCTGTGAGGTAGCTGACAAGCAAAGAGCGCCTGGCATGGAGTATATTTAAGTTGCTGTTGGTGTTAATGTTATTGTTGTCACAATTCATACTATTATTATTACTGTTGTTCTATTCATGAGAATTCTGCTATTTGATTGTTTTTTTCCTTAGCAGTTTTTTTTAATTGTGAAAATACTGTACAGAGGGGTTACAATTACATGAGTAAGGTAATGAGTACATTTCTTATCAAGCATTGTTGTTTTTCTCCTTTCTTTCCCTTTCCCTTCCCTTCCCTTCTCCCCTCCCCCTTGCTCCCCCCTGCCCCCCTCCTCCACTAAAGTTGTAAAGTTCGTTTTTTCTTTTTAATTTTTTATTGTGAGAACACCGTACAGAGGCATTACAATTACATGGGCAAGATAATGAATACATTTCTTTGTTTTTTTGGGGGGGGGAGTGTCTTATGGTGGGGCCTTAACACTGGGCCTGGGCACTGTCCCTCAGCAATTCAGCTCGAGGCTAGCACTCTATCACTTGAGCCACAGCGCCACTTCCGGCTTTTTTCCTTTTGCTTATGTGGTGCTGAGGAATCGAACCCAGGGCCTCATGTATGCAAGGCAAGCACTCTACCACTGAGCCACCTTCCCAGCCCCATAATGAGTACATTTCTTATCAAGCATTGTTGCCTCCTCTTTGTTTCCCCTTCCCATCCCTTCCCATACTCTCCCCTCCCCCACCCAATTCCCTCCCCACCCCCCACCAAAGTTGTAAAGTTCGTTTTTTCAACATAATGTCTTGTACATCTCATTGTTGCAGTGGATCCACCTGTATTCCTATTTAAACAATTTGTTTTTTCTCTTCCCCTCCACAAATTATACCAACATCAAATACAATGAAAACAGGGGTTATACCATGGGGGAGGGACCTACAAAGCAACAAAGAAATCATCTTATAAATATGTTAGAAACAATAGCAAGAAAGAAAAACCATTTGAGTCCTTATCTTGGGGTTCATTTCACCTAACATCAACTTATCTGACCGTAAATCAAGTACAGTGACAACAAGGGATAAGCCATCAGAAAAAAACACAGAAGAAAAAAATCACATAGTACACTAAAAACAGCAACAACAAAGAAAAACCTCCCGTGTCTGTCTTGGAATTCATTTCACTTAGCATCACCTTATATGGTCATATATGCATAGCTATTGAGCTATTCTTCACATTTGCTAGGACTATCCTAGACATAAACTATTTATTACAAATGAAGGAAAACATGAGATCTATATTCTTTGGGTCTGGCTTTCTTCACTTAATATGATTTTTTTCCAGGTCTTTCCATTTCCTTACAAATGGAGTGATGCTATTTGTAATGGGAAAAATAAATGAAAATTAATTGGATTAAGATTGTAGACAAAGCTTCATATATATATTTGTATATAAATCTATGCATATCTATGTCTATCTATCAATCAAGTGGATAGTTTGATGTTATTTGTCCTCATCATTTAAGTTAACAGGTGAATACAGAAAATAAATACATAAGTTGAAATAAATCAGAATGGATTTCTGTGCTAATTCTGTCATTTAGTTGATGCATGATCTTGGATATCAAATAAAATGACAACCACTGAAATGAAAAACAGAGCTGATTTTATTTACCTTCCAGGTTTGCTAATAAGGAAACTTCAGTGGCCAAAGTGGAGGTAGGAGAATGATTACAGTAGGTCATGATGTTTAGGTTCTTGAAGGATCAAAAACTTACATTAAGGGAAAGGTGGAATGGCTTTACAAGTTTGAGTACAGTTAGATAAATCTCATTGTCCCAAGGCCAGGAAAATATCTACTTGCACTCAGGTGTAGTCTGACTCAGGTCAGGGTCACTCAAGGTTCATGAATCTTAACAGGCTCAGTTGGTTAGAACTAGTAGTGGGGAAATACAGAATTTAGGTATGAATAATACTTCCTAGGTTAAAGCTGATCAAGGGAACACATTTCCTTTTGACATAGACAAGTCATAGAACCTCTCTAAGCCACAGTTACTTTTTAAACATTTGCAATGAAGATAGAAATAATCTCTGTACGTGGCAGTTGCTTTGAATATTTTATGATACCCTAAATATAAAACAGAGTAGTACCTGTCACAAAAAACATGCTCAGTATTTTTTCTCTTGTTCTTTGTAGATATAATTAAAATTGCTTTTAAATGCTGTGAGACCTTCATGCACAGGAGTGGCTACATGTCTGAGGGCTAGGTAGACATGGTTGTTGGATTCAATGTATGTGTGTGATAGGAATTGGTAGAAAGATCAGTTATTTTTTAACTTAGCAAAGCCTACCACTTTGTCTTATATGTACAATATTCTTAATACACTTCAGAGTATGGCATAAAATAGAGTTCTACCAATAGACTGGGATCATGTTCTCAGCAAATGTTCATAAAAGTACCAACTTGTTTTTTTTTTTAAATGTAAAAAAATTCAAGTGTTTATTCAGAAGTTGAGGTCAGGGGAGTTATTTAAATTATTTAAAAAATTAAGCAAATGTTCTCATTTTTCCTTTCTTTTATACAAACATGTTTTGAAGTTAGTCTTGAGGCACAGCCCCTCATTTTGTGCAGTCTTATTATCCACAGATTTCAGTTATCATTTCATTAAGTAACACTAGTTTTTTAAAAGCACGATTTACATTTCAGGCACTAGGTGTTTTCACTGTGAGGAACTGCATAAAGAATCAGAGTTTCTCTTATGCACAAATCACAATGTGAATAAGAGATTTCACAGCACGATCAATGACCAGTTACATCACCCTGTCAGTGATGGGTCATACACATCTGTTATTAAGTTCACCATAGACAACAAATCATGTAGCTGCATTCCTTCTTGGCCTGCCAGCAGTAAACTGATACCACAGGCAAAATAATTTAACTGTTAAGACACCACTGACTCCTGGATAATGCTGTGGATCACTATAATTCTCTTGGAGATTTAAATAAAATTTGCTCTTTATTACCAAAGATAACTTCATTAATCCAGCCAATGGACTCTATAGAGTTATTTCAGTTGTTAAAGCCTATTACCTTACACACAGATTGAGGAATCTCTTCCTGCCACAATGGATTGGCATGTAATTTCAATGTCTTGGTTCTGGATGAAATGTGGTAGGAAACATAAAAGCCCTGAAAATATTCAAGCCTGATGTCAGGAAGTACCATCAAGTAATAAGTGTGCAGTATAGCAGAAACATCTAGCATACTGTGCAAATAACTTTGCTAGATTTGAATCTGACATAAATAGAATTATAGAAGAAATAGTGAACCATAGAAACTTTACTATTATAGAACCCCAGATAAAGCTGCCAAAGCACTTAGTGAAGGCCAACTTATCCCCATAAATGAGGGTGTGACACTGACAATAAATTCCAGGCTAAAAGGACTCTGAGATAGTTCATGATGCTGAAAGCACAAATGATAGCATTCTGGAAGTAGATCCAAAGATAATTTGATAATTCATCAATGCATTGACATGGTATTCACTAGATTATATAGCTTATATAAATTTGTGAGGCAAGCAGGCACTATTCAAACTAATTCTTAAAAGTTTTTCCAAAACCACACCATACCAAAGCAACTTTAATTCTCAATGTTCCTGATGTTTAAAAGTACAGTGTGCTAAATAAACATTAGTTTTACTATGTTTCCATTTTCATATCAATTTATAACTTACAGTAAAAGCATTTAACATGAAGATAAGGGACTTTAAAAAAAAAAGAGTTGTAAAAATCTTATTTCCCCCAACTGTTAAGGCCTTTTTCACAGTTTCAAACTGCAGAGTTGTTTTTATGATCCCTGTGATGCTGCGATTTATAGTAAGAAATAAGTAATTGATATTCAGCCAGTTCTTGACACAGAGCTCCTAAAACCCCTGGCTTCTCCAAAGCATTAACTGCCTTTTTGTCTTCTAGTGAGAAGATTTATGGCTGAGGGCTCTTGCATAGCTTTAGGCTAGGAGCAGCTGGCCAGGAAAACCAACACTGACCTCTGGGAAAGAGAGAAGGGCTGAAGGTTAAATTCATCACCAAAGGTCATGGATATGGTTGCTCCCTTGTATTCTTTGCAATATCCTTTATAATACATTGGTTAGCTTGTTTCCCTGATTTCTCTGAGTCATTCTACCAAAACATCAGATCCAAAGAGGGAGATAACAGATGATAATCCTGAGATGATTGACTTCAAAGTAGAGGGTAGTCTTGTGGGGCTGAATCCTTAACCTGTGGGTTCAGATTCTACTTCCAGATAGATATGTCAGAGTCAGCTTATAGGAAACTCAATATTAATAGAGAATTAAGAAACTGTCTGGCATAGACAAACCCTACACAGTTCTGTCCAGAAGTGTTCTTTCTGTGTGCTGAATGAATACTAGGAAAAATATTTGTCTTTCTCTATGTAAGTCCATACTACTGTTTCAAGGAAGAACTCCCTGTGTTACAAAGACAGCATTTTTACTGCCCAATACTCTAACCAGATTTAATAATTTAGAATCTTAAAAGTATTTTATACCTTTCAGTTACAAAGGAGAGCTATTCAATATATAACACTTTGCTTAATGATCTCTGAAATTTCAAAACTTCAAACTCATAACTTCAAATATCAGTCAGTTTTGTTTATGGCTTTCTTGTTATAAATTACTACAGGTGTTTTAATATAGAATCTAGTATGAAAACAATTATCACATTTAATTATTTGATCACAAGCATTGATGATAATGAAATAAAAAGTAGAGGAAAGGTTATCTTTTGGATATTTTCAATGTATAATTGTACACAATAAGAGTGAAAACAAATTAAAAGAAAGTGTAAAGTACTCTAAAGCGATGCTTCCTAAACTTCAGTGACTGTATTACCCTCAGGAGAACCTGTTAACATGGAGATTCTGAATCAATAGTTTGGGTTGTGATCACAAGCTAAGTTCCTAACTGGCTCCCAGGTATTGTAGAAACTTCTGCTCCAGAAATTATATAATAAATTTCAAGGTCTTATGGTCAGTATTAGGGCTTGAACTCAGGGCCTGGGCACTGTCCCTGAGCTTCTTTTGCTCAAGTCTAGCATTCTACCTGTTGAGCCACAGCACCACTTCTGGCTTTTTTCTGTTTATGTGCTACTGAGGAATTAAATCCAGGACTTCATACATGCTAGGCAAGCACTCTACCACTAAGCCACATTCCTAGCCCCAATTTCAAGATTTTTAAATAAAGGTCTGACAAAAGGGATTTCAAGAGGAACATTTAAACTCACAACAGAGACATATCAATAGCAGTTAAAACCATGTAGAAATATAAAATTGTGCTTGCTTCACATAAGTATCAGTGAAGAAATTCATCAATGGTATTACTCTCATTTTCTAAAAAAAATAGTTGCTACACTTTTCTCCACTTCAGTTGTGTCTTTATAAAACCCTTGGTTAGGAAAACATTATTGCATCATTAACCCTCAATTATCTAGCTAATGGGGAAGAGGGATTGCAAATCTATTATATAGTCTCTAAGTTCCTTCTAACATCATTTATGGCCATTAGATACTTATTAAATCTACTACTAATGTAGATGCTAATAAACAAAAATAAATGGCTTTGACCTTTCATTTATAATTCTTAATGGAAAGAATGTCATGTAATTTGGTGGGTAATGTTCTGACAGGCTTTGACTCTAATTCTTATGTGGCTCTTAACATCTGAATAGCCTTAACCAAAATTAACCCCAGTTTTACCTATTTGATAACATCTAGCTTACAGAATTTCCATGCATAACACATGTATGCTAAACTTTTGATTTAGAGATAGTACTTCATTAAAATGACCCAGAAGGAGGTACACTAAGAAAATGGCAAACATGGTGACATTGTACAAAAAGAAATGTACTCTTTATTTGACTTATATAACTGTAATACCATCTGTACATTACTTTTACAATAACAATAAAAATGCATCAAAGTATCAAACTTGAACAAACTATTTCAGTTGAATTAGTTAAGAGAATTGTTAATTGCAGTGAAGTATGTGAATAGCCTGGCTTCCACATTCACTTGCATAAATTTCCTCATGTTCATTATGTACTTTCACTCTGCATTCAAGACATTCAATAGAAATTAGAAGTGTGAGAGCTTAAATAAGAAGACGTATCCATTACAAAAATTCTTAGTGCTTGATATTCTCATGTTCTTCCTGAAAAGCTCTGATTAACATAGAACAACACAGGAATGTAGTTTACCAAAACTAACTATCATTTTCACAAGCCTCATACAATTCTGAAGCTGGGATTCAAAACAATCTTAATTGTCACGGTTTATGTGTTTGTGAAACAGAATAAAAGAATAAGATGGGAATCAAAGTATAAGATGGTTTGTGAAATGAGCCGTTTAAAATTGTGAAAAGTAACATGAAGGAAACAAAATGGTTGCAGATGGACATATTTGTAGAATGGCATTAAGGGAAGGCTTCAATGTAGACACAATACTAAAATATAGAACTATACCTTTCCTATTCCATACTGTTGGTGAACCTGAAGCATTGATAACATTGTGATACCTGTGACAGATGTAGAATTCCAACACCCCCTAGGAAGCCTCAGATTCCCTAGATCAGAATCTGACTTTTAAACAAGATTTTCAACAATCTGAATGCATATTGCAGTTGAAAACCATGGACTTAGGAGTGAATACTGTGAAGTATTAAGCCTTATGAAGAGAGGTGAAGGAGTACACTATGTAGAGTAAGAAAGCCCTGAGGCAAGAAGAAAGGCCAGTGTGACTGGGTATATAGAGTTATGGGATTGCTGAATGTTAGATTTCATCAGGACAGTGTAAGTCCTGTCCTGTATGTTTATGATACAATTTCTCAATTTTGATTTTTTTGTTATATGCCATATATCAACAAAGCTTACATCTTTGTGTTCTAAGAAGGTATATAGTGTTATGGTTTGGATATAAAATATATTCCCCAAAGCTGTTGTATTGAAGTCCCCAAAGAGAAAAGGTGTATCATGAGAGCTACATAGCTATATCTTCATTACTAGGTAAATCTATTGATAGTTTTGTATCTTAATAAGCTATTGAGAGGTGGTGGAAACTTTAGTAGGTAGGGTTTAGTTGAAAGAAATCACTTGGAATGCATAGAGTATATTCTCTCCTTTTCCACTCCCCCCTCTCTGTCTCTCTTTCTCTATCTTCCTAGCCAACATGAAATGAAGAAGTTTGTTCTACCACATGATCTGCAACAGGATATTTTACCTCACTCACCATAGCCCATTCTCATGGAGCCAAATGAACATAGATTGTCAACTCCAAAACTGTGAACCAAAACAAGGCTTTCCTTTTAGTTATTTCTTGTAGGTGCGTTTGTCAGAGTGCTAGACATCTGACTAACACAGACAGGAACGAACAATTCAACTCTACTCTGAAGCCATTATTATTATTATTAGGGTGGAAAGAAAGTCCAGAGCTGGAGTGAGTGGTGGTACCTAGTGACAGTGCTCTGAAATTCTGGGGTCTGCATTCATGGAGAGTAAGGTCTAGAAAGTGGCACTGGGGTAGCATCATGGAAGGTGGGCCTGTGATTGTGGATCTGCAGTTGTTCTGTTTTTAATTAGTTCCATCCTTCTATCAGATGATTTTCAAAAACATTTCTCTAACTTTTTTCTACCTTTCCTCCAGGGATTTAGACTTCCATATCTTTCATGCCGATCATCTTCTGGTCATCCCATTAGAAGTGATACCTGTAACTGGCAGTCAGAAGTGTCATGGAGCATGTGAACTATTAGAACCTATGGGTTTTGAGTGGATCCTTATGTCTACACAATGTGCTTCAATGGTGTTCTGGAAACCCCCGCCTAATATTGATTAAAGCACACATTTCCTCCCACTACCCATGAATCTCCACTAGGTTTCACTGAACCTGTTAATAAAGAACCTGTCCTGCTTAGATCCTTTAGATATTGTTTCACCCAACCTAAGTATTTCTTCTGGTTTTGTAACATGTAAGGATTTAATAAAAAATGAGTAGCTTTCCACATGTGGTCATGTTTTCTGACTTGTCAAGTGTTTATAGTTGTTTCATTTCAGATATAATTCTTTTGTCCAAGCAAATGAAAGCTGTTGGTAGCCAAAGGATGCATCTCTATCTGTTGAATACTGCAGAGAAGCTTAGGTTGAGCCATTGCTTTCCTTTCTCCACACTTAAAATTCAATTACCAGGCAAGCCCCAGGGAATGTGACTAAATACTAGTGGTGATATAAGAACCAAGAGTAACACTGTGTAAAACTGAGCTGCAACACCCCATCCCCCACGCCAGTGGCTGCTGGGAAAAAGGAGCTGAAAACTGCCTATTCCTAACACATAGCCAGCCTGGCGCATGGTGCAGCTGGTGAAAGACAAAGGCAGGAACTCATTCTCATGTACACCAGGAACTCAGACCATAGTGTCTGTCATGGGCTAAAATGTGAATCCAGAAAGGGCTGAGTTTGCCACCTGGAAGTCATCACGAGGCCAAAATTCTGACGGAAAATCATCAGTCTATTGAGCAAAAACTTGTTCTCAGGATGACCAAAGATAAGGTTTCACTTCTTATTAAGAAAAACAACAACAGTAAGACAAGTAACCTTTGCCTTTCAAATCCATTCATTTTTTGTCTTCAGAGAACTGGGTACTTATTTACTTAAAAAATGTGAACATAAGTGGAAAAAAAACAATCATGGCCTTAGTATGGATAAATGAAGTTGAATTTGGTTTCCTTTGAGTAGAAAGACTATGGTTTAAGAATTCAATTGGAGACAGATGGTGGTAACTCACACTTATAATTCTATCTACTCAGAAGGCTGAGATCTAAGGATAATGGTTCGATGACTCTTAGGTAGAAAAAGTCCATGAGACTCATTGCTAATTTACGACCAAAAAGCTAGAAATGGAGATGTGGTTCAAGAGGTAGAGTGCTAGTCTTGAGCAAAAAAAGCCAAGGGACTATGCCTTGAAAGAAAGAAAGAAAAAAGAACACAGTTGTGGAGAATCATTTAAATCTATATCATCAGGTTGATATAGACATCTATTTGTGTGTATCCTAAAAGAAAGCAAAATTCTCTCTATACTGTGAAAATGAAAGCAACTAAAAGCGGAAACATATGGCAAGGTGTGGACATTAAACTGTTAGAACTGATTGTAACTTTAATGCTATCCAAAGTCAGAATATTTGAATTGGAATTTTACTGAGTTGTCTCACATTTTTCAAAGTGAAGCTTTCCTGAGTGGTGCTTGTCATTTGGCAGGTGACAGAGGTGGTGAAGAGATATGAAGATATTTCAGCATCTTGATAGTGGTGGGGGTGGTTCCAGGGCTTTCTACCTATGTCAAAACTTGTCAGAGCAAAGAAGTGAAGAACTGCACTCTATTGTCTGTCAATTATAGAGCTGCTTTGCTAAAAAATAAAGCTGTCTGTTCCAAGGATACCTAAACCTATGAAAGGATTTGTATTATTCTTCATGCTGAGATGTAGGTGAAGAGAGATTATATTGATTTCTCACTTCATACTAATTGTAAATGGAAGCAATTTAGTGATACTGAATATGTATTTCCTGAGGAGAATATGTATTTGTTAAAGAATTGTGAAAAAGTATTCATAGCAATATAAGGTAAACTGTTGTCAAATAAGGGAGCAATTTTTATCCCTACAAGGTAATTTTGTAGATTTTTTGTTTATCAAAAAGTTTTAAACTGTACTAGCTAAGCAGACACTTCTTGTCTGCGTCCTCTAAACTTCTGCACATACAAGGATTATTAACAGTACAGTGGAACTATATACATAATGTAGATTTTTAAGAAAAACTCATTGGATATTAAAAGAAACATTCAAATTTGGAGCTGCCACTCAGTTAAAAATAAACATCAATACTGTTCATAAAATATCATGTACAGTTTAACTGAAGGTCTGAATGACAGATCTGCTTGTAAAAGGTTTAATGTTGATTATTTTGTCATAATATATAGGTCAATGCTGAGGTGATGTTCAGAAAGAATTAAATCCTACTGAATACAAATACATACAACTAAATTAAATATTGCCTAAATAAACTGACATATTAACAACTGATAAAAACATTCTGAAGAAGAACACTTGATGCATTCTTTTGTATCTGGCTGTAGACGGTGACTGTAAGAAATATTGGCACTTACTTTCCAATTGTATTGGGTAGCATTGTAAGTTGATTGTCATCTACTTTTAGAGTAGTGAGTTTTTTCAACAGTCCTAAAACAGAGGAGAAAGTTTTATGAATATGTCAGAGAAGCATATGGCAAGCAATATCTTAGCAAAGAAGTAAAAAAATCATTTGTGAGGAATGCTTTGCACGATAATTGGCTTCATTGTACTTACATAAACATGTAAATTGATATTGTATTCTTGTGCACTCTAGTTTTAATGTTATAAAAGTTCACTTATATTTATGATAGTTCAAGAATGCCAAATGCAGACAGATAAACAAAACCAAGGGGTCCATATCTATGCCCATGTTAACATAAATACTATTACTTTTCCCTTTGCTTTTGTGTAGCAAATGGATCAGTTGAAATTCTCAAACCAGTTATGATTTAATATTGAATTAACACCTACACAGGAATAACTAAAATTCCTGTTGTCATATATATTGTAAGCAAATCTAAATTAAGTCTAATAACCAAAAAAAGAACACTACAATAATGCACTGCAGTGCTCGTAAGTATGGACAGAGTTAAAATATAAATCTTTCACTTGGAACAGCATTATGCACAAAAACTTGCATTTTTAACATAATGGGTAGTACCAGCCAAGAATTAATGTTACAACTATTTATCTTTCACTGTCCAATTTATGCTCTATACCTTTATCTTGCTCTGAAGAACAGTTCATTTGATGTACTCAACTTCCTTATCTAGCCAAAATATAGCTTATAAAATCAGAATGACTTAAAATCCAAAGGTAAACCATTAAGATTGTTTGGAATTTTATTAAATTTGGTTAGAGCTACAAATATATGTTGTATAGTACTGTGTCCTACAGAAAGTCTGTCCTGAAAATCTAAGTTCCGTAGTTACATATCTTTTGAGAAGTGCCAAGTGAAATGATATAACATTCTTATTGCAGTTTTTCTAGGAACTTTCGATATACTGATGTAATAATGTTATTCTCTAAAGTTATACTTGGAAGTAGCATGTGTGTGTGTGTGTGTGTGTGTGTGTTTACATGCACACATGTGAAAGACTACCTTGAAGAGCTAGTACTTTAGGAACATGCTTTCACTTCATGGCCACTTCCTCTTAAGTATTTTGAGGATTCTTTAAAGGCAAGAATAAATCACAAAAAAAGTCTGAAGTAAAGTTGTGGAACTTTAAATTTCAGGGTGCTTAGTTACATTTTCTTTAGAGGCAGTCAGAATCTTTACTCTAGTAGAAACAAATGTAATCACTTCCAGACTGCTTTAAGAAAAGAGTCACAATTGTTTTTAATACATGAGATTGAAATAACTGCATAGTAAAGAGGAAGTTTCTCATGGCAATTTGTCTCTGAAGTCTGACACTGAATCTCTGAACACTGTTGTGTTCATCTATGTTCTAGAGGCGACATGTTCTATGTTCTAGCTTCACTCCTCTGTATATTAAAATTTCAACGTTGGGGGTTGGGAATGTGGCTTAGTGGTAGAGTGTTTGCCAAGCATTCATGAAGCCCTGTGTTCGATTCCTCAGTTCCACATAAACAGAAAAAGCGGGAAGTGGCACTATGGCTCAAGTGGTGGAGTGCTAGCTTTGAGCACAGAGAGGCTCAAAGACATGCCCTGAGTTCAAGCTCTAGGACTGGCAAAAAAAAATCAACTGGAAATGTACATGAACACTTGACCTTGTGCATATCAGCTGTGGAAGGAAAACAGAGGATTAAGAATCATAGCTAATGTTTTTTATAACTTGTAGCCCAGGCTATACAAACTGTTGCTCTCCCAGTAGAGCTAAAGGAAGGTTAATATTCTCTTCATCACTTCATCAGGCCACAATAAATTATGGGTTAATAGATGACTGAGCAGGCACCAGAAAGCCAGCCAGGTCACTAAACATTCTTAGGTACCCTGATCTGAAACAGTGCTGAGAAAAATGAGGCAGATTGGAAGTAAAGCAAATGTTGGTGCAATTCATTTTCCTGTAGTTTAGGGTAGTGGCTCTGACAAGAAGTTTTAAAAGTTGAGGGGAGTTTGGCCTCAGTGTTTAGCTCCACATCTCTGGATTTATAGGAACCTCACTCGTTTGTGATGAGGCTATTTTACCATTCAAACTCCAGCCACGGCTCCCCTCTTCAAACCAATTCTGGACCCCCAGAAGAATATGATTGTATACTTGGGCATCTGTTTCACCTGCATCACTCAGATCTCCCTCTGAATTTCCTATTGCATTTCCATATTCTATCTGCTCGAGTTCTTCTACCCTATATAAATCAAAGGCATTTTGGCTTATTCCTTCTTTCTGTTACCCTTTTCTCAATTTGCAGTTATAGGCCTGACCCAGTAGTGCCTGGCTACTATTACTATTTTTTTAAAGTAGCTAATGTTTACATATCATATCTGCTCACATAATACAACACTGAAGCTAGTCGCTGCCCAATATCTAAGTATAAAACCTATCAAGCTAGGCACCGGTGGGTCATGCCTGAGATCCTAGCTACTCAGGAGGCTGAGATCTGAGGATTGCAGTTCGAAGCCAGCCTGGGCAGAAAAGTCCTGGTGGGAATCTTATCTCCAATTAACCACTCCAAACCAGGAAGTGGAGCTGTGGTCAAGTGGTAGAGCTCTAGCCTTGAACACAAAGAGGTTCAGAGACACTGCCCAGGCCCTGAATTCAAGCCCCACAAACAACCAAAAAAACAAACAACTAAAAAAATCATGTAATGATAGCTAATACTGACTGAGCATTTATGATGTCACAGACTTTTCTACGTACTCATATTAATTAACTAGTTCCTTGAACAATCCCATGTTGCAGTACTACTATTAATCCCACATAATAGCTGATGATATGAGACACAGAGAAATTAAGTAATGTGTCTGAGATCACACAACTAGTAAGGTTAAAAACAACAACAACAAAATGGTCTGAATTCAGCTAGCCTAACTACGAAGCTTGTGTCCTTAATAACAAGTGAGCATAAGATAAACTATTTTGAGACATGAAAAAATGTATTCTCCATGATTGCTTTTCTGTGTTTTCCAAAGAATTTGGATGGCTCTCTAGTAGAGAAAAGAGGGCCTTCCATTTTCTACAAAACCAGCATAAAGGAAGGCATAAGCACCTGAGGCTTGTTGAGTATGTCAGTCCATTCAACTCTTCCACAGCTGCAGAAGGACCCAAACAGGCACAATGGAAGTAAATATTTTAGTTTCTTGTTATTTCTTTGTGTTAAAACTATGAAATCCTCTCTCTTATTCTTTAAAATGGTGGTGGCTCAAAAGACAATCCATGCTCAAATAGGAAAGACAAGATGCAATTTCCTATCCAATTAGAATCAATACATTATTCTGGGGCCAGAACAAAGCTCTCAGTGTCTTATCTAGGCAAGTTTTGTTTTTAGGTCAGAAAGGGTATTCTCTGAGAAACATCAGCCTGTCTATCTCGATAATCAGGTACTTCCATAGTGCCATAGATATACAAATGCAATTTACCCTGAAATTTCTGTCAGGTCTCAAGGCAGTTGAAGAATAAGCTAGCATAACAGAGTTTTTTCTCCAGACAAGAACCATCCAAATCTGCAATGGTTATATTTATGCTACTTACTTGTCCTCATGTGGTTATGCCAGCCTACAGTCTCTATTATTGATACATGTAGCTTTCCTACAACCTAATTTCCCAATCTGCTTTCTTGAAGGAGGACACTTTAGACAGACAATTGTATCATGTTAACATGTTTCACTTTCTATCTTCTTTCAAAAATAAAACCCGCTTTTTCTTTGTTTTAGATATGTCTCATCACCAGCACAGAGTTGAACTTAAAAATAAGCATTCTTTAAGATAAAGCAAGTTAAATTAATTTGTTATAGTTATTACAATTTATGACAAATAATTTGATTTCACTTTTATAGCTTCTATTTTGATGTGTTTAAAACTTTAGTTTTGTCCTCTCTTCTCCCTTTGTTTAGAAATCATAAATTTGATTTCTATGTAAGGCATACATTTTAAAATGCAATATGCTCGTTTAGTTTTGTATTTCTTACAGATTTCCTGGGGTCCTACATTTTCCTCAGATCATCACTATATTTCCAGTTTATCTGATGAAGTTCAGGTGCTTGTTCTTTCTTCTTAAATGTGGATAAATTCTTCTCCTGACTGAATATTTAAGGAGGATATACCAATATGCAGGCATAGTTCTTAGCACTGAGAAAGTAGCCATCAAGAAATTTATTTGAATACAGGTAGTTAATTCTATTAATTCTATGCATTTAAAGTGGTATGGAGGATGGGTGAGTTGGGTGTAAGGTTGAATTCTATCATCTTTACCAGTGCTCCTTTTCTGTTCTTATCTGTTCCAACACAACTAGGATTTCCATACTTAAGTGCTAACAACCTTCATCTAGGATATTTAATAAAAGTGTCAGTCAAAGAGTCTAGACAGGTTTAACTGTATCTGAATTTTCAGACAATGTCTCCCTGAAAAACACTTTAGTCAAGCTCTGACTAAAATCTTACAATTGAACTCATTGGAGAAATGCTGTTTAAGGGTATGCGATTATGTACATCAAAAATATCAGCATATCTCAGAATAAAAAAATAAAAGGTAAACTGTGATGATGCTAAAACTAATTCTCTACCAATCTGAAAGAATGATTAAAATGGCAGTAAAAATAAAGTACTGAATAATGTCATTTTTACAAACATTTTTAAGCTTCAGAACTTATCACTTCTGTATTCCCGAGATTAAAGTCTACATTTCAAAAATCAAATATTTTGATTGTATTCGCCTAGCTGAGTACTCTAATAAATAATAGCAAGATATTTTGCAAAAGGTTTACCCATTTTCAGTTTTTTATGTAAAAATTTATAAATAAAAATGGTTAAATTCTGGTGCCAGTGGATCATACCGGTAATCCTAGCTACTCAGGAGGATGAGATCTGAGAATTGTGGTTTGAAGATAGCCTGGGCTGGACACATCTCCAGTTAACCTCTCAAAAACTGGAAGTGGAGCTGTGGCTCAAGCAGTAGAATGCTAGTTTTGAGCCCAAAGAGGCTCAGGGACAGTGCCCAGGCCCTGAGTTCAAGCCACACAACTGACAAAAGTTTAAGCCCCACAAATGACAAAAAAGGTTAGAAAGTTTACAATATATCTTTATAAATTGTCTCACTTCAGACATCTTAATAACATAATAAAAACAGTATATTCCCTTTTTATATGCTTGTTTCTCAAGACTGGCACTTTACCTACCTCTTGAGCCACAACTCTGCTTTCAATATGTCCCTTTTAAAATTATTAAACCATGAAAACATTTTATATTTAGAAATTTCATGTTATTTCTATACTGTAGCAATGTTACAATGACATTAAAAATATAACAACATACGGATAGACGTTACTGTCAGCCTATGGCGATACAAGGAGATACCATTCATTATCTAATTACTCAAAATCTAACAAATATGCTATGATATGTAAATAACCCTTTACAAGTTACGATGTTTAACATTTTAAATTAATTTAATAGGAGTATTGTAATAGGAATGATGTGAATAGTCATGCACAGCAAATTTGCTAATTCATTAATGCCAAGCTAGCGGTACATGCATGTGTACAAGAAAGATACACTGTCAAAGAGATGTTTACATCTGACATAATTATCCATGACAAAATATTTTATTCTCACCTATGGAGTCGGGTAGCTGCTGTAACATATTGGATGACAGTAAGAGGTCCTCCAAGGCTTCACAGCCAGAAATGTCCATGTCGACGGTCTCTATTCTGTTTTTGGACATATCCAGGTATACCAGCATCTTTAACTTCCCTATAGACTTGATGACATTGCATAAACTCAGGATTAGTTGAGAAATTTTCACAAGACATTTTAAAGCTTATAAACCCCACAATATTATAAAATGAATTTTAAAAATCAATCACAAGTTTTGACGAGAATATGGAAATATTGTAACTCTCAGATATTGCTAATAGTAAAAACAGCTTGACATTTCTCAAAATGTAAAAGAGTTTCTATGTGACTGAGATATCCATATGTATATATACTTGTAAATAAAGATATATGCATACAAAAATTGCACAGTTACAAAGCAGTAAAGGTTCAAATGTGTATCAATCCATGAATGGGTAAGCAAAATGTGATATATGTATGCAGTAGAATACTATTGGATAATAAAAATGAATGAACTACTCATACATGATTCAAAATGAGTGAACCTTGAAAGATGTCAGTCACAAAAGACTAAGTATTGTATGATTCCATGTACATGAAATACCCAGAAGATACAAATCCATAGACAGAAGGTAGAGTGTGGTTGTTAGGGACTGGGCAGAAGGGAAGGGACTGGAAAAAGGAAAGTAGATTTAAGTGGATGAAGAAGCTGGCTATAAGGAAATCATGAGAAAGTAATCTGTTAATTCATCTAGAAGCACCAAAGGTGGGACTTGGCAGCATTTGTCCAGGAGCCAAAGAACTGGGCAATTTTTATCCAGAATTGGAGAGTCATTTGTTGGAAGCCTCCCAGGATTGGGTGTGACCCCAAGTAAAGAGGTAGTCTCCAGGTAAGACATTCCTGAAGAGGTGATGGACTGATAAGCAGCATTTCTAGAAACTAGGGTGGAACAGAGATAGAAAAAAGTTCTTCATTCCTGGAAAAGGGCACATGATAGCATCTGCCATAAACAACAGTCTCGACACAAAACCATACCAATACAAAAGGGTGGAAATGAAATGGAAACTTAACTTTTATCTAAGTACAGGCTGCAAAGCCTGCATTTGTACTGGCAGTTCTTGACCTCCATGTCTCTGATTAACTAAACCCTTTGCTTTGTTTCCTCAGCATCTTCCTGGGCACAGATTATAAGTGCAGTCTTGAGGGAGCTGAATTGTTGTGAGGGCACTTAGAACACTCAGGTCACGGAGCTAAGCTTTATTCCTCCCCAGGAGAAAGTGTCACTTTATTAATGGCTTTCTTCCTCAAAGAACTGTTATGCTAGCCATCTACTGTTGTGTTGAGCAAAAAAAACAAAACAAAACAAAACACCCCATGATATGTTAGGGTTTTGCACATGTGTGTATTTCTTTCTTTGCTCCTTTATCATAAGGGAATTTCTTTCATCCTTGAAGCTTCTTTCAGTGTTATCTTGCTTTTTTCCAACCCAGATCAATATTTTGCTGTGCAGTTTCTGAACATATATTTTGGAAACAAAATAATGCTTTGTGATGCCTGTGAGCTTTATTTATTTATTATTTATTTACTTATAGTCTTTCTCAAGCTTCACTTGAGGCATTAATAGCCTAGGTTCTAGGTCTTTCAGGCTCTAGGTCTCAGAATCCTTGAGGATGTTGACAGTTGTTTCAACATCTCTCAGGACATAGGGGTGTCTGTAAGTGAGCACTGGGCTGGCAAATGTAGAGAATGAAAATCACAAGTTAAAGCTCAAGCTTTCAATGGCGTATTAACTTGTTACTTAGTAGTATAGGAATTAAGAAAAAGGAGAACTTGATTTTTTTTCTTGCTTTTTTGACATCAAATAGTTTAGAATTAATCATCTGTGAACATTGACAGACATGGGCTGCCAACTTCACCTAAACATGAGCCTGTCAAAGCCAACCCTGGATGGGTGATTGACAAACACCTATTTGTCAGTACCAGCATTCAGAAAAGCTATGGCTATTTTTGGCAGGGGTTGTGAGATATTCACATATAGGCTGAAGCAAGATGACTAATTAAAGTGTGCTAAGCAAGTTATGGGATCTATTCAAAGCTGAGAGAATAGATGACAACGTTGACAAAAGACAAATTAGGCTTTAAAGATTTTTAAAGATTTCACCACCTCCTTTTCATTTATATAATAAGCTTATTTGAGATATGAGTTAATTTCTACAGTTAGAAAGCTGAAACACATGACAGGATCTAGAAAAGCATGATGAATCAAATTTTCATTTGTGCCTTCTCCTGGTCTTGTAAAGAGCATACAGGAGCAGTGCCATGCATAGCAGTCTGTAGAGATGGTTTAAATCGAAACCCTTATCTGCTGGCTGTATTATGTTGGGCTATTTACCTGTTCTTTCACTTCCATTATCCACAAAAGGAGAGCAGTGTTAGTGTTAGAACATGCTTCACAGGGTTCTGATGAGGATTCAATGAGTCAATATACGTAAAATGTCATGTAATGCCTAGCTGATGACAAATACTGTGGAAGTGGCTTTAAAAATATGTATTTATTGTTATAATAAAGGTGATGTACAGATGGGTTACATTTACATAAGTCAGATAAAGAGTACCTTTCTTTTTAAACAATGTCACCCTTTTTCTCACTCTCTTCTAGTTTTTCCCTCTGTTCCCAACCCACAAGTTGTATAATTTATTTTCAACATCGAGTCTAGTGAATGTTATTGTTGCATTCATTCACCATTTGCCCCTTTCTTTACTCTTCCAAAGACAAATAAATGAACAAACAAGACAAAAGGAAATGAAAACAAAAAACGGCAACAAAGAAAACAACCCTCTTGTTTCCACTTCCTGGAGTTCATTTCAATAAATATTATTTGATTTGGCCAGATGCTCATAGCTATTGTGCCTGCGTAATCCTCTCCTAACAATATCTTCTTTTGGTCTCACACAATGTGAATGCCTAGAGATCTGTGTAATTTATCATGTCCCAGTGTATTTTTTTTTAACCTTCCAGTGTGTTTACTTTTAGATTTACAGGCACATTCTAGTTACACAAATGAGGGAAACCATGAAATCTCTGTTTCTTTGGGTCTGCCTGACTTGGCTCAATATTATTCTTCACAAGTCTTCCCATTTCCTTATGAATAGTACAGTATCATTCTTTCTGATGGATGAGTAGAATTTCATTGTGTATATATACCACATTTTCATGATCCATTTATCCATTGAGGGTCATTTGGTTTGATTTCATATCTTGGCTATGGTAAACAATCCTGCAATGAACAAGCTTATGCTGGTGGCTTTAGTATGGCCTTGTTTGTATTCTATTGGATAGATGCCTAGGAGTGGAATTGCTGGGTGATAGGGAAGTGCTATGCTTAGTCTTTTGAGGAACTTCCATACTGTCCACATAGAATGGGAGCAGATTTTTATTAGCTAATCAGACAAAGGCCTGATATCTAAAATATACTTAGAGCTCACAGTTATTAAACACCCTACAAATAAACTCACAAAGAAACAATAACCAATTAATAAATGGGATAAAGACTCAAAGAGAGACTTCTCAGAAGAAGAAGTAAGAATGGCCAATAGATGCATGAAGAAATGTTCAATATCTCTGGCCACAAAACAAGTGCAAATTGTGGAATTGACAATAAGCAATGCTGGTAGGGATGTGGCCTAAAGGTAACTCTACTACACTGTTGGTGGGAATGTAAACTGTTCAGTGGTTATGTAAGTGGTTTTGAATAAATAACTATATTCAATAAACAGATGTAAAATTGCAGCTAGACATACATTCTGGTTCCACAATCTCTGTATTGGAATTAGTAATGGCATTCTTATTTATATTCATGTGCTGAGTAGTATAATATAATGTTCTATTCTAGCACTCTTTTAGTAGATGGGTGGTCACATGACATCAGTTGAAGCCAAACCCACTGCTCACAGATGTTACTAGGCTGCCTCTTTGTTGAGGAAAAAAATCTGACTATAATTGAACTTTGTCTTTAATGCTGTATAGTCCTTGCCACCTTTAAAATTCTAATTGGCTCTATTGGACCTCATTTGAACGCAGACTTACATTTTGTGAAAGAGCTCTCTTAATATGAGATGAAATCATTATCTATTTACCTATAAGAAATAATGTTGATTTTACAAAATTAAATTCGGTGTTAGATATAGTATTTCTCTTTAAAATTAACTATGAATTCACCAACTTTTTAAAGCAGTAAATATGGGAAGAAATAACAAGTATGCTCCCGAGACAGCGAGAGAAATCATTCACTGCGTACACAACACTTACAAAAGATACATTAAACACAAACGCAATGCAAAACAGTTGGTAGCTGAACTCTCTAAACATTAGTTTTCTGAGAAATGTGAACACTGAGATTCAACATCTAGGGTTATTATAATAATCAATCAACATGTAATATAAATGCTATAAATCATGGCATAATAAAACTTACATACCCCAGGTAGAATTTGCAATGCATTATTATCCATCCATAACTCCCTTAAATTTTGTATTTGATCCAGAACTTCAGGCTGGGAGAGAGGCAGGAAGAGAGAATAGAGGAAAAAAACAAGTTAGTCTTTTCTTATCATGTATAGCAGACGTTATTTCTTGAACTTTTGTTTGTAATTGACTCATGTTAATTCTCTAAGAGATTCCAGGGTTCACAGACTTTCTATCAACCTGGTAGTCCTGGAGATAGCCAACCTAGAATAACAATAATTATAAAAATTAAAATCCATTATTTAGATATCTTACTCTACTACTTTAATACCTTTCTCTTGTCCTTTGTAACATTAATTTTACTCCAATTAGTTGAGCAGTTTCTTTTTCACAAGAGTATAAACATTCAAAGGCTAGGGTGTGTTGTTTCATAAGCACTTTATTTTCGCATCTCTGTTTCTTACTACGTAGTCATACTTGGTACCTCACATTCAAACACCCACTTGCAAGAAGCATTGCAGTATTGTGATGGGCTAGATTAAGATCCTTTGTTTCTTATCCCTTCAATCCATTAATAATTATCTGCTGAATAGGAGAGATACCTACTGTATGTATTGCACAATGCAAATCAAGCAAAAGCAGATTCATTCTCTATTAAAGTGTTCTGAGCAAGTTTTGGAGCTAGATCTATTATTGAAGAAGGATTATAGATAACTAACCCCCCCCCCCCCAAAAAAAAAAAAAAACTACACGAGAGAAAAGAACAGCATACTGAACGGAGGCAAAACACAGTGAGAGAGAATGAAAGAGAGAGAGAAAAAGAGAAAGAGAGAGAGAGAGAGACAGACAGACAGACAGATACAGACAAAGACACAGATACAGAGAGAGACACTGAGAGACAGAGAGACAGAGAGGGAGACAGAGAGACAGAGAGACAGACAGAGAAAGACCAAAGTGCATGAGATATTGATTACCTATCTAGAAGCAAAATTAACTACCTGGTAGTCACACTATACCAGGAGGGTAAAAGTTGCCATTATTGTCAGCATCATCTCCCTCCTTGTGGTGGTCTTTTCACCCATTTTTATTTTCTCCAGAAATTACCAATTTCCTAAGTTTTAGGCTCTGTCCTTCCTCTGGAGTAGAGTCTGTTTCATCATTTTATGGGAGTGAGTAACACTAGTCAATACATTGTATTTACCTAGCCACAGGGATTGATTCAGAGATGGGGATGTGACTTGTTCAAAACCTATGTAAAGGCTTGTGCCTGTGCCTATAATCCTAGCTGCTTGGGAAGGAGGATCATAGTTCCAGACTACTTCAGGCTAAGTCCCATCTAAACAGAAAAAGGTGGGTGTGCTGTGTGTAGCTGTCATCTCAGTTATAGAGGGTAGTTTAAATAGAAGATTTACTCTCCAGGCTAGCCTAGGAAAAGATAGATTCTCAGCCAGAGCAAAAAGGGCTGGGGTCATAATTTACATGCATCTGCCCATGAAGAATGAAGCTCTCTGTAACTGTAATCCCTCTGTACACTATTTTTACAATAAAATTCTTTTTATAATAAAAAGAATGAAGCTCTCAATTCAAACCCTAGTTCCACTAACCAACAATCAATCAAACATGTAAAGCAATCACTCTTGGAATGGAACTTCTTGGTTAAAACTATTGGTAGTTCCTGTTGGATTAGAAACTAGAAAGAAGCAGCCCAAGCAATTTCAGTCAAGAAGAAAAGGGGGAAAGAATTTGAAAATAGAGTCTTTCAAATGAAAGGAAAACAAGCTAGAGCTGAAAGATAGAGCCAAGAAATAAATAGAACTGATAGCATCAGAGAAGGGACTGACTTCAGACAGATGTGATATGCTTTTTTCCCCTCTGATTTGAGGGAGAATGGCTCAGGATGCTATGAGTATAAGGAGACATGGAGAAAGGATGAGTAGAAGTTGAGAGGATGCATACATTAAATTATCAAGTATTCTAGATGAGATGGAGGACAAGGGAGCAAGAATCTTATGTAACAGCATAGCTGGGAGAGAACTGGATACAAATGTGAGAGTATACAAAGTCAATTGAAAGAGCTATGTCATTTTCTGGGCCAGGAATGGGGATGGATAGTCTAACATAAAACAGAAGAAATAAAACCTCCATTCAGGTTTACATTAAGTCAGTAAAGAATGAAGTAGGAGTGAGGGACAGAAAATATTACAAAGATGGAAAATTAGAAAGAGAAGTCAGAATTTAGGAATCTGGTATTTCTGAAGTAATTACAGATAATGACAGCCTACAAGCTCTACCCCTGAAGATGGTCAGCCGAGGTAAGAAGTATGATGTTATGGTTTGTGGGCAAGGGCGTGTAGGCCTTGCATGGCTTCTAAGGATTCTAGCAGTCCATTATCTTAATTTCACATATCTGCTGTCTTGGCTATGCATCAGACAAAATAGCAAAGATGACTAATTATCCCTCTGAAATTTCTCTAACACTGAGTTCTACTAGGGATCCTAGAAATCTCTCACTTCTTAGAAAGGAATAATTTGCTAACCTACATTTCTGCTTTATTTCCAAAGACCTCATTCCTGCTCTTTAATAGGATAATGGAGTAACAGTCCTACTTTATGGATAAATAATTGAAAATCATTTCCTGAGGAAAATGAGAACAATTTGATAAGGGTGGTATCACTGTAGCTGGAATTGTTTTTCAGGTTTTCTGGCTCCAAAGATGACATCACATTATAACTTAAAATTAAAATTCCAAAATAACAAAGAGAACTAGTAATCACAAATGACCCAGAAAGAGAAAAAAGCATGTACTAGGTTTCTAAATAAAACATATTTTAATCACTAGATAAATAATAATATTAGTATTATAAAGTGTACCACAGAGGAAGTTGCAGGAATTTCCAAATAATAGCAGAGAGAAAAATGTAGTTAGCGATCAATACAGTCTTGCTCTAAACAAAACAAAAATGTAATATGATGATCATCTCATGATCAATAGATAATTTAAAAGTGGATCTTAGAACTAAACTAAATGGCTATGTTCAATTAATTTCATCACAAACTCAATCAGCTTTATTAAAAGCAAATAAATTAATTCAAGGATAACTTGGCATGTTCTATACTGAGAAAAGACCTGTAAGATAACCAAACTCAGAAGCAACTTTTTTACCTCCAAAGTATTTTCAAATAAGTATCTCCTGCTTTGAAACCTTTAAATGCGGTTCCAGGCAATTATATAAAAATATTTAAAATAGAAAACAATATTAATATAGAAAAATGTTCATTGCAGAAGTTAATGTTTAAAAGTTGGTTTCCAAGCTAAATATGTGATAAGATAACAGAATAGACAACAAAATTATAATTAATAAATTGGTTTAGTGTTCAGCAACACAGATAAATTATATGTATTTTTTAATTTTTAATTACAAAAATGAGTAGTTTCGTTACCTTGTTCATGTAATTGTAGCCCCCTCTGTACTGTATTTTCACAATAAAAAATGAGTAGTCTTTTTTCCTAGGTGTGTGTGTGTGTGTATGTGTGTGTGTGTGTTGGTACTGGAGTTTAAATTTGGGGACTGCATGCTGCCCCTGAGCAGTTTTGCTCAGGCCAGTGTTCTACTAACTTACAGTTTTGCAAACAATGTCGCATGTAAAAGCAAATATAGTGAATGGAAAGAGGAAAAGTGAGTGAATATAGTCCTAATTCTCAATGCACTTGTTTGAAAATGGAACAATGAGACTTGGTGGGATGGTGGGAGAAGGGATGGTTGGGAGGGGGAAGAGTGGTGGAAGAGTGTCTCACCAACATGTGTTGTACAGCTAGTTGGATGCCAGTGGCTCACACCTATAACCCTAGCTACTCAGAAGGTTAAAATCTGTGGATCATGGTTCCAAACTAGCCTAGGCAGGAATGTCCATGAGACTCTCATCTCCAAATAACTACCAGAAAAACCAGAAGTGGAGCTCAGTGGCTTAAGTGGTAGAGTCCTAGCCTTGAGGTACAGTGTCCAGTACCTGAGTTCAAGCTTCAGTACCAGCACTACTAACAAAAAAAGGACATTCTGAATTCAATCCAACTTGTACAACTATTTGAAGGTAATAATTTGAAGGTAAAAAGCAAGCACAAAATTTCATCTAGCACTAATCAATTTCTATAAATTGAAAAACTGTTGTATGTCCATGAATACACATACAATCAGTAAAAGTAGGAATATAGGATGACGCATAACATGTTTTAAAAAATAATGACCTTGGAGGAGAGATTAGGATAGACTAGCCTAGAACAGAGAAAAGACAAGACTTCTAATTGACCGGTAGTGGTTTGTTTCCTTACCACAAAGACAAACTGCACAAACTTTTGTGCATTTTGGTTAGAGGTATTTGTTATGTTACTTTACAATTTTTACATTTTTTCAGTTTTAAAAATTTAGAAAAACTATACATTATATCCAAATATTAATTTCAAAAATCTTAGTAATGCTATTAGAATAAATTTAAAATTTTCTTCTCTTGCATTTCCAGTATTTTCAAATCTCCAATAGTATGTGTATCAAAGTGTATTAAAAATTAGAGAACATTTCAGTGTATTTTCTTTAAATTGATACTTAAGCTTACTTAAGCTTTGTTTTCAAAGTAATTTTCCATAACTACCCAAAATGAGTGAAGAAAATTATCACATCAATAAAAACACAAAGAAAACATTTTGAATGACTGCAATGATTTCCAACAACTCATTTCAAGTACATGTAATTTTAGATTGTTATATTATTTTGAATAGTTTTTTATCTTTTATACCACTAATTTGTATAATGCAGGTCAATTATATGTGGTTATAACCTACTATATTTCTGTTCTAATGTGGTTTAGAGAAATGTTCACTATGGAAAAAACCTAACATTTTTTATATCTATAACTTTTCAAAGTAAAATCAGTAAGAGGAAAAAAAGGATCTTTAGAGTTTAAATGTCTCAAATTTCACCACTCTGGACAGTGCTATGGAAGTTCATTAAAAAAACAAAACACAGATCTTTCCTCTACCACAGATAGGCCCATACCATCCTGGGCATCTACCCAGAACATCACAGGATATTATAA